GAGAGTTCTGAGATACAGATAGCCAGAGTTCTCAAATATCAAGTTTATACAATAAATACTACGGATACAAAGGACATAAACATTTCCCCTTCGTATTAGTCAAAGTCAGCATTGTTCTGTAGTGGAAGAATGAGAGTCCAGCCTCCCAGGTGTGAGCAGACTGACAACAAGCCAGTCAACAGCTGAGTCTGAAAACAGCTGCAGCTACCAGCCACAATCCAAAACACTGTAAAAGTCACAAAAAAGAAACTCTGCATGCAAATACAAAAAGTGAAAATAAAGCATAATCTACATTCTTACTCCATAGCCACAACATATCATCGGAATTTAAAAAAAATCTGCATTTATTCAGGCCAATTATTTTAAGTTACACCCTCAACACTGCACAAGCCGAATAAAACACAATGGCAAAACGTACGATTCCCTGGAGCCAGAGAAGTTTATGTGAAACTTCCACTAGTTACTGAGACACTTCCAGAGGCCATTTGAATTGTAGACAGATGAGAATGGAAAAGCAATCTTCCACAGCTGCTCTGAAATATAACTGGAGCAGGAGCTGTAACTTACAGGCCATCAGCTGGCTTGTAAAAGTTACGACCGCAGGCACTTCAGGCATGCACGGTTTAACAAGCACCTAATGAAAAAACCTACATACAGTCTCTCACAATAATAGCTGCGCATGTAGATGCTATTCTTCCTCGTGAAAGTAAACCAAAGGAACACAAACAGATCAATGGTCACTGCTGTCAGAGTCTTCAGGGTCAAACGCTGATCCGCTTGGATTTCAGGTCGTAGCAGTGACATGTGAGGCCACATAAAGCAAAGCCGGGAGATTTTATCTGTCTTCAACTATTTGCCCTCGAGACGATGGTTATACTGGATAAGACATCAACCGACTGAACGAAACTGAGATCATGCCAGAGCAATAACAGCACAAAGGCTTAAGACACATTTGTACCTTTCAAAATGATTCTGTGTAATAAAACAGACGTTTTTAAAAAAAGAAAATCAAAAACAGAAACTTTAGCTGTATTACTCGCATAATTTTTTTCCACACTTTTATATTACGCTCCATAAATGATTACTCTCTGGCAAAACGGTATTCTGTAAGTCTAATAACGGGCTCAGTTAGGAAGATAAATGGCAACAATAAAAGAATATTAGAATTGTTCACTTCAGTCATCGATGTGCCACATGGGAAATTTGACATGGCAGGAAAAAAACACACATAAAAAAAAATGACTTATTCATGTCTCTTATTCATCAGTTTGACAATTACTACCAAGTTCTTCCATGTTTGAGCTTGAAAACTCAATCACAGGAAGAAAAAATAAAGATCTTGCATCACTTGTCCTCAAACCTTTATCTTGTCAAATCTGAGGAAATGGAGTAAAAATAAAGATACACTATCCACATCTATAGCTATATGGAGAGATAGAGATTCAGATATCTTGTGTAGCTTACTGATCAGCTTCTGAAAGATGCAAGTGCACAGCTGCAGCAGTAAACTCAAGTTCATACAAATAAAGCACATTAGGTGGTAAAAACAGAGCTCAATATTTTGATACCAAACTGGGTCATATACTCCTCCTGTTAAAGTCTGTAAACAGTGGTCCCTTTACTGTGGAAACCAACTTCTCCTGTACACAAATAAAACTCTAATATCTGTGTTTCCACGCGGTGATGCATGTGGTATACTGACTCAAATAACCAGAGCGGCGACTGCCAACACAATCACTTCTCTGCACTCACAGTCTCCAGTCACGGCTGCGCTACGATGAAAAACAACCACAAAGAAGAGAGACAGACAAGCAGCAACCATGTTGACCTGACACTCGGTTCACAGCAATGTTCCGCTCTGTGCTGAGCCGGAGGAAAAAAATCCATATTTACATCCTGTCCTTGTCATCCAGTCAGACCCAGATGCAAGATTCACGACTGATCAAAAACACAAGAGGAATACGTCTTATTCTAATAATAATAATAAAAGAGGCTTGTGTCCCTATATGCAGACCTTCACACGGCTCTCTTTAAATATCATTACGTCCAAACAGCAACAGATTCAAAAAAAACATTTTTTTTGCAATCATGTTACAATTTAATCTTCTGTGTAACATGTGTGGTTAATTGGAATTTTTGTTGTTTCAAGTATTAAACAAAACAAAACAAATTTCATGTTTTCTGTCCTGAAGCTGGCAGAGACTTGTATTTGCCTGCTAACTGAAAGCGCTGAAGCTAACATGTAATCATCATGTAAACACCTATTTTTAAAGCTCTCAGAGTTTGTTGATGTAACAGAAACTCCATTTAAAGTTTTCCTCCCAAATGACTGTCAGTGACCTTAGCACAGTTCTCCAAAGAGCCTGAAAAATCATCAGCAGTGATGGGTGTGCGTTTGGGATTTTGGAGGCTGGTTGGTGGTTCTAAATGATAAATGCACGAGCGTAATTTATCTGTTTGTTTATTAGTTGGTTATTAATTAAAACAAAACAACAATGGCACATTTAAATACCCATAAATTAATAAAGACAATCCTTTGTGTTCTGTTGTCAGAGGAACATATTTTATAAATAGCTTTGTTTAATACATACAGACTGTCCCATGCATATTATAAACAATACACACTAATATATTTTCAGTTTGTGAGTGACCTTCAGTGAGCTAATTCACGAGGTCTCATCATACACCAGAGGTTTATCCCTTATTCATGAGACCCCAACCCCATCGTCAGCTTAAGCCAACCTTGAAAAGTTGGTCGATATGAATCGTGAGTAAAAAAAAAAGAAAAGTGCCTTTATGAGTACTCCGATTGTCTCACAGCTCATATATCTGGGACACTGGCTGCCAACAATATAACACAATTATATTTAAAAACAAACTACTCACTGTGAAACCTTCACTGAGAAATAACTATGTTGGTAGTCCAGCCCATGATTCAAAAGCTTGTAGGACCCTCTAACAGCAATAACTCTGTCTCTCACATCACTGTAGAGGAACTTTGTCCCATTCTTCTTTACAACGTTGCTTCATTTCATTGAGGTTTGCTTATGAGATCTGGCTGGGTCATTGCAACACATTGATTCTTTCCTCTTTCAGACATTCTGTTGTAGATTTGCTTCTGTTTGGTTGACTCAATGACTGACCCTATGACAGCTGGGATAGGCTCCAGCGCCCCCGCGACCCTGAAAAGGATAAGCGGAAGCGAATGGATGGATGGATGGCTTCCTCTGTCCAAAGGACATTATTCAACGAGTATTTTGATTTGTTCAATGCAAATCAGAAAACAAATCAGAGCCATGCTCCCGTGCTCTTTTTAGAGAAACTAGGCTTTCTGCTGGAAACCTTTCCAAACAGGACGTAGCTGTTCAGTCTTTTAATAAATTACAATTTAAAGTTTGTGACGGTGTAACATGCTAACCAAAGCCTGTGGAGTCTGAAATTTAGCTTTGGGGTTTTTCAGTTTCTTTGACGTTTGGGGTGAATTTGCTGGGTCAACCACTCATGGAAAGATTGTGTTAACACACAGCTGAATGCTCCAGACCAACAATTGCCAAAACTTGTTTTTTTTAATAGAGGCGCATTTGATTAGCAACACTTGTCTGCTAATGAAATGCTGTTAATCAAATATCTTGTAATTCTAATGAAAGCAGTGAGAGTATTTCATTTTTCACTGGACTGCACAGAGTCCTTGAAAAACTTTTTCTCACTTGACTGTAGACCGTATGTTTCAAAGCTGTTAAACAATACTGTCCCCTGTTGGTGGTGTCTAACTGAATCACCTTGACACAACAATACAGCACATAATCTGGACTTTACAAAATAAGCGGACAGCTGTTTTATTTAAAATCGTATTTAATATTAAATACATTACTCTATAAACATAACACTTATCCACATATAAAAGCATGTATCACTATTTATACTCAAGTCCTATCAAACAAACTATATCCAGGAACAATTGAAACAGCTCCCATTCTATCCTCACATTGTAGCGGTGATTGTCACAGCATTTCCTTCACACTGACTGGATCATATCAGACAGTGAGTACAAATAAAATCCATCCTTTAACCTTATTGCTAAGCTCATCATAAATGAATACTTGCAACTTCACAGGCCCGTTATCACCATTTTGCTGAATACAGACTTTCTTTCTTGAATTCTTAAATGTACAAATATGTACAGCTAAGTTAAAAAACTGTTGGTTTACATCGGTGAGTTGTGTACTGATATTTCTGAGATGAGAGGCATAACAGTGAACACCGACCACATCCTTTTCACATGGAAATGTTGGAGCAGGACGTGAAACTTCTGTGCTGCTAAATTAAAACCAAGACTGAACTACCATGAGCTAGAAAAAGCACAAATACAGTGGCTTGGCTGCGCTCAAAGGCTACGTTCACACTGCAGGCGAAAGCGCATCAAATCTGATTTTTTTTTACCCTATGTGACCCATATACGATCATGTTATGACAGTATTTTCAAATCCGATCTGAGTCACTTTCGTATGTGGTACTGAATCCGAAACATATCCGATGTTTTAGAAAGCGACTGCTGTTTGAATGGTCATGTCGCATTAAATCCGTCATTTACGTCACTGACACAAGACAGACACCAATTATCAGCGCCAGAGAAGACATCGCGAACACTTCCTGGCCATCCAGTGTAGATGTTAGTGAAACTGTTGGGAAGACAACGTGAACATTTTATTTGTACTGTATAATCTGCAGATTTTGACAGAAATCTGCAACTATTCTTTGAAGCACCGCTCCTCTCTAAAACAGCAATAAGGATCATTATTTTGTTATTTACATTGTTATGTAAATAACAAAATAACCTAAAGGAAAAATTGAGAAACGTAAAGTCCGAAGTCTTTATATTAAGGGCCATCAGTCAAACAATATTGTTTGCTCTGGGTCTAAACAGAGCGCGTTGTGTGTGACGTCTTCTTTTGCGCATGCGGGCCGCTTTGAGCGTTCAAACTAGAGAGCGTTTACTGTCAAATTTTATTTGTAGTGTGAACAAGCAGACAAAAAAATCGGATTTGATCAAAAAAATCGGAATTGAGCATCAAGACCTGCAGTGTGAACGTAGCCAAAGAGGCTTAATTGTCCTCCATTACAAATAGGTGACCTCAAAGATGACACAAGTAGTGTAAGACTGTAGCCACCAAGAGAATTCATTCCTGCACCTTCGATTTCATTTTGGAGGTTCTGGGTTTAGGGTTGTCTGACTCTGCGGGCTCTGGGGATCCCGGAGGATCAGAAGGTGGGCTGGGGGCTTCCAGTACATCATCTTCTGTCTCTCCTGCATTGGAAGGGCCTCCGGACACCCCTGGAAAAGACAAACAGAATTCATGCAGGTTTGTTTCGCTACAAGCTTATCAGAAATCTTTTACTTTCTGATGAGACGCGTGGGGTTCATTAATGCTGAGCTCTGCAGCATTAGCTGGCAATAGTGACTGGTCCCAGGCTGTAAATGTCTATATTATGTCACATGCTACGGGACACAATTTAATTAATTCTCTTTGCAAATGTGCAGATAGTACCAGATGTTTCTAAATCCAGCTGTAAAGTACATACACATTCAGGTTGGTTGGTTGTCAAACAATGGCTGGTAATTGCTGGTTGTTAGGGGCTAAATAGATGCCAGAGCTGTGGAATTATGTAAAATGCCAATGTCACTGAAGATGTATCTATTGTTCTGGTGATATTTGTTACCAGCTACACATGAGTGGGAGAAAACACAGGCCATTGGCTCCAGTGAAGAAAAGCACTACTATCCACTTACCTTTGAGAGCTGTAAGCCTCTGCAATCACTGCACAGTAGCCTTGAATTCATAAGCTTACCCGTGTGTCATTTTTCCACACTATTGATTCTCTTTTGTTCCAAAGAATAGAACACACAGCATACAGGCAATAGGTTGACTTCGTTTTTCCCCCACATATTCCATTTCGCCTTACCCTGTATATTCAATCTGCTACAGCAGTGAAGGCACGAGCCTTTGAATATACAGGGAAGTGATATTTTCAAGTTTTACTTTTGAATGAAAAAAAGAGCTTTGGTTTGATGCAGAGAGGTGGAAGCTGCAAATCACCCACTCTGCCGGCGTTACACTGGACTCCTTGGAAGTCATTTTGAGTTTGCGTTCAGAACAAATGTAAGCGAGAGATTCAGTTTGACTTTGATGTTTCAGGTTCTTAACAAACGTCCCCTTCATCTTTGATCAAAACGGCACAGGAGAGGCTTCACCGTTGAGGCGGATCATGAAATATTGCTTTAAACAAGACCATAGCTGGTCGTGTGTACCTGTTGACAGCTGAATGTTTTTGCTGTAGCTTGCGGCTGAAGACATGGCCTGACCCAGGACTTGGTTAGTACCGAGGGGAGCACCGGGGGTTTTGGTGGCTGCTGCAGAATTTGGTTTTGATTTGGAGTCCTTGCCTGGTTTAGTCCACACCAGCGCTTCTGTCACCTGTAGAGCAGCTCCCATTTTCTGAGCCATGTCCATTAGCTGTTAGGGATTAAAATGTGTTGCGTTGGAACAAAGAATGACCACTAACTTCAGAGACATCATTGATATCAGGATCTACAGTACCTCAGGATCAAATTCAAAGTTGCTACTGCTGTCTCGGAGTATGTTGACTTTCCTTTCCATATCCTGGTATTGATCCAGAGCTCCCTTCTTGTCTCCATGATTATAGAGGAAGATTGCAAAGTTCAGGTTAACCAGGGGGTTGGATCTGTGGAAAATTGATCACCAAGAAGAGGGAAAAAAAAATCAATGATCTGATACAGTTTTAAATTCAGATCAATGGAAGTTTCAAGGTGTTACTGAGGACAGGCTCACTCATCCAGAGTCACAGCTTGTTCGTAAGATCTGGTGGCGTTCTCATAATCCTCCAAATTGGTCAGAGCAACTAAAGATGTGACAGGAAATTTTTTGTCACATACAAGCCCTTTTCAATTTTCAAATCAAATGTAAATGTGCTCAAGCTGCTGAATAGATTTAATGAAAATACTAATACATTTATAACCCCCCCCCCAAAAAAAATCCTTTAAGCAGCGACATTTTCAGTAAAGTGCTATTTAAAAAGCTATCCCTGTTTTTGCCGTCATAGATTTCCTCTTCAGGCAGAATTAAATCATGAAGGATTTGTCTGTCTCACTCGCTCCGTACCTGCCAGCAACATGTAGAGCTCCCCCATTCGTGGATTCAGATTGATGGCTGCACTGAGGAAGTGGAAGGCAGAGGCATACTGCTGCATGGTGAGGTGTACCAGACCAAGGTTGTACAACACTTTCCAGTCAAAAGGAGACAAGTAGTGGGCCCGCTTCAGGCAGCTGATGGCCTGTGGGAGACGTGAAGTTAGGAGAGAGAAATTGTCAGGACCTTTAGGTGAGTATCTTAATAATATATGAAGTAGAACAAACAGGAACATCAGATTCAGGAACATATGTAGAAGTTTCCTGAAGAGGGAATTGTGCCAGATCCTCTGAAGGTTTTAGCCAAAGAAAAACCACCAGAATTGTAATGAAGTTGTGTTTTACAGAGTTTGGGGGGTTTGATTTCATTTTCTCAAGATTAATGAAGATTACAGAAAATGTAGAGTTTGTATAGTACTCAGTCATCCCCACAACGTGTTGGGATTTCTAAACTAGAAAAAAAAAAGAATTGAATGAAGTTGCTTTTAAAATTAAGATATGTTTACATTATATATATGTACCGGTATATGTATAACATATATCCCAACACCTAGCAGATACATACAGTAAAGGCAACGTATGTGCTGCGCCCGTTCGCTGCATGCCTTCCCCCCTCTCTCTCTCTCCCCACTTTCCTGTCTATCTACGCTGTCTCTATCAAATAAAAGATAGGATAAACACTGTACTGTATACACAAAGGGCTCCTTCAGAAGCAGCAGAATTAAGTGGCTGGGCTGTGATTAAAGGCACGAGCCATGGCTGGTGTGGAAATAACACCGAGTAGGCTTTTTGTGTGTGTTGCCTTTTGGCAGTTTTCTCATCCAAACTGGATGAAAACAAGCAGGAAAAAAAAAAAACATTACTCACAGCTACATATTTCTTTTTCCCAAAGAAGCACATGCCAATGTTGTTCCACAGAGGGGGACTCTCCGGCACAGCACATGCTGCCACCCTGTACTTGTTCATAGCCACATCAAAGTCACCATGGGTCTGCATCATGCTGCCTGCAGCCAGGATGGCCTAGGAATAAAAACAATGATTAGAGAGATATTAGAGGAAGATGTAGCCTTGATGAAAGATGAAAGTCAGGCCGTAACATCTGACAGGGAATGAACTGATTTAAAAGGAACCTGGTGCACTCTCCTTAAGGAGGTGAGCAACAAAATAAGCTTCTGCCTAATTGTAATGTGTAAGTACCCACATACCTTATAATTGTTGGGGTCAAAGGTGAGGGCATTCCCAAGATGTTCAAATGCTTTCTGGTATTTCCCGAGCTCAAACAAAGAGAAGATTGCTGTCATTCCTTTTTTGCTGTGCTCATCATTTATGGGCATATCATTTCATCAAATCATTTAAAAAAAGAAAAAGAAATCTGCTTACCTGCAAAAACAGCAGGCCCAGTGTTGTGAGGAGTTCAGTGTTTTCTGGAGAAAATCTGAAAAAGAGATGAGCCAAAAGAATAATGTCAGTTAACCTATGCCAGCAATCATATTCAATGCATGTGCTTGTTCTTGAGCAAACATACAGCAGCTGATATCTAGGGAATCTCGTGATTATTCAATCAGCCTTTGATTCGGTATAATTGTGGAGTATTAATTATGACCTGTGGGGGAACGATGGGGCTCAAAGAAAAACGGTAGAGAAGAGGCAGGTTGGCATTAAAATAAGAATCACAGTGGTAAGTCTCATTAAAAGCGACACCAGTATTGGGGCACTTGATTAATTCATTTACCCCCAACAGGAGGCAGCCATAATGAGCTCTATTATAGACACAGATGTCATTTCCTTATTTACACCATGGCCTAATGTTTAAAAATTCAACATGCGAGGAGAAGTGGAAATGAACTGCATTTATACTGAACCCAGAGTTAAAAATGTGGCAAAGCTTTAAGTGTTGAATAAAATGATTTCTGGAGACAGAAAAGCCATAAAAATAAAAACCAAGATGAAACAACTTAAAGTATGCGAGAACCTTCTGAACCAATGTTTGAAGGCGGTATGTTTGAACTCCTCCACAGGAATCTAAAGAAAATTGTTTGACTTTGTTGTCATAAACAATTCCTTAATGAGAACATCATTAATATTTTCAGGCCCAAACCCCCATATTTCTCTTTTTGCTGTCAAGCAATGTTGGTATCGTGCTGTGAGTGCTGGTGTTCTCATTAATATTTTTGGGAGATTTTAGTGGGACGGCCCCCATTAGACTCTTTAAGTTGGGTTTTTGAGAAATGTATCAGCTCTAATGGACTGCTGTACATGTCAAGAATGTTTCAATGTATAGTACATACAGAGTAATGCCTAACAACATCTAGCATGAATGGCTAACATTATATATATATGCACTTACTCCACCGCTTTCTTGTACACCTCTATGGCCTTGTCTGTTTCTCCAGCCAGCAGGTGAACCTTCCCGAGCATCATGAAGGTTTTGTCGTGCTTGTTTATCTTGAGAGCTATCTTTAGATGCTCCTCAGCCTGAGAGAGACAGAAGATCAAAATGATCAAATCCCTGTGGAACAACTACAATTTGTCCTGCTATAGTGTTGGTAAACTCAGCTGTACTCACATATTTGAAGTCTTTGATGAAGAAATAGCACAATCCCAGATTATGACTGATCTCCTGGGGTGAGAAAATGTCAGATTTTACATGGATCATTTTTGCATTGCACGGGTTGAGCTGAATTTAATTTCCAAATGTAAAAGTTTTATAGGCCAACAGTTCTGCAGTAGCATTAGAGAAGGAAGTGGGCGTGATTAATGGTAGCACAACTTTGATAGCCCCCTAGTAAAACAGCCCTGGACGAATTTGGATGTGCAACCACAGAGCTGATTGTGATAAATTGTTGCAAGTGTGAGAAGAAAAGGTTCAGTCAAGGTAATTCCCACTCTAAATGTTGGCAGAATTTGTCGGTGCTATAATCTCTGCAAAAAAAAAAAACAACCTTAAAGACAAAGTAGGAATTAAGAGTGTTTGCTTTCTACTACCCAGTCGTTCTCGTTGAGCCTTGCAGCTTCATGATAGAATTCAATAGCTGCTTTGTGCTTTCCCAGAAGAAATCTGAGGAAACAATAAACAACAATAATCCATAAGAGACGATAACCCATTTTAATTACTGCTTTCAGAATAACTATTATTACAACATTAAAAAACAAACCATTCAATGAAGCTGTATTCATTTTTCTTTCCAAAGGGAGGCATTACGGGTCAAGAGGATAAAACTTTGCTATAAGCCCCAAACTTTCCCATTGGATTACTGATAACAGAGACAACATCTTTATAACATAACGTTAATGAAACTGTGTGTTCATATAAACTCACCTGACACTTTATTAGGAATGCCTGTTAAACTAGTCATAAATACAAACATCACATGGCAACAACTAAATGCATTTCAGCACATAGACATGGTCAAAATGACCTGATTAAATCAAACTGAGCATCAGGATGGGGAAGAAAGGTGATTTAAGTGACTTTGATATTAGAACAATGGAAAACTGTTGCTTGGTTTGCTGAGTCTCAATTTCTGTTGCAACATTCAGTAGGGTCAGAATTGGTATAAACAACATGTAAACATGGGTCTTGCCTTGTATGAATGGTTCAGGCTGCTGGTGGTTTAACAGTGTGTGGGATATTTTCATGATCCCTTTTGGGCTCTTTAGTATAAACTAAGCACCATTTAAATGAGAGCATTGTTGAGTATTGTTGCTGACCATGACCATCCCTTTGTGACCACAGGGTGCTATGTTCTGATGGCTGCTGTCAGCAGACTAACAAACCATACAAACTTCAAATAATGTCAAACTGGTTTGTTAAACATGACTATGCGCTTAAATTGTACTCAGATGGTTTCCACAGTCACCATATTTTAAATCAATAGAGCATCTCTGGGATGTGGTGGTAGATTTCCATCATGAATGTGCCGCAGTCTGCAGTAACCATGTGATGTTATCATGTCAATGATAACATCGGACCAAAATAACGGACCAAAATCTTAAAGCTGACCAATGCATTAAAAAACAGTTTTTTCTCCAGTGTTTCCCCTTAAGCGGTGAAGGTTCTGGCTCTAAGCGGCCTGCAGTGTGACTGTTATCACTGTATATTTCTCCCCTGTGTCTGTCTTGTTAGCTAATGGAGAGGCACTGATGCGCTCATAGAGGCTTCAGTGCAGTAGACTCACAGTGATCGGGCCACTTGCTTAAGATTGTCTGCGCTGTTGGGATTTAAGATGGCACAGCTCTGAAACAGCTCCAGGGACTGCTGGATCTTGCCCTCAAGACGCAAGATTAGTGCTGCACAAAGAAATAAAGACACACACAAAATAAAAGGATCTTCATCTGCTTGAGGAATTAAAAGAAAAAAAAAAACACATTAAAAAAAAATCAAAGGCACAGCATGACGTCCAAAGAGCAGTTTTTGGGGAAACGAAATCATGTACTCGTGCAGCTCTGGTGTTGACTACCACAGAGGTTTTACTTGATGTAGTTGTTAAAAAAATATCTTACACATTAAAAGCGGAAAAAGGGAATGGCTGCTACAAAAATGATGGCTCACCTTGAACATATATAGCATATTCACACATCCCATTAGTCTCCTGCAGTTGGTCTTTGATGATAACCTAAAAAGGCGCAGAGTGGAAAGACAATTTCGAAATCCATCCAGTACTCAGATGATACAGAGGAATATTACACCCTGTTCTGTACATCTGTAGATATTAACAGAGTAAGCGGAAGGGATGTATGTCATTATCGCCTCACACAAATTAGATATGCAAAGAAAACGCGTGCAGGAGTAGTCCAGTAATATATCTAACAAGTACTATTCAGAGACTTTATTAAGTGTGAAGCAGTTTCAATGAACAGCGCTGCATGCAGCGAATGAATCAGGCCTTAGACAAAGCCGCGTGCATGTCGGGAACTCAATATCTTCATCATGTACATCTTCAGTGAGGTCAGAGTGGGTCTTTCAGTCAATCACACTCAGCACAGTCACAGGTCAATGACAGACTACGCCGCAAACAGAGCTGAGGAATGAAGGCACTTTACCTTACAGGTATCGTAGTCCTTGAGGATATAGTGCTGGTGGATTAACCAGTTCCTTCTCTCCACAATAGGAAGCTCTGGAGCTGGGTGGAGGAAAACCATAAAAATCTAAATATTACAAATGAATAAGGATTTTGGAAAAAAAAACAAGAACTTTTGAGCATGTTATTGTGCAGATGATGTCTTATTTGGCTGATAGCTCAATGATTAATCCTTAAAGAGCCCTCCTTTTGCAGTCATTAGTAAGTCTCTGATCTGACAGTTAACACAGATGTAACACTGCAACCTAAAGCCACAGGCTAAATTTAAGTCAAGTCACCGAGTAGGCATGCTGCAAATCTTAGCTCGTTAGCAGTTTTTTTTTCTTATGAACAGATGGCTCAGCCTATTAAGAGTAATGTCTATTAGAACTATTTTTAATGTATGCCATCTTTTCTAATTTGACAGCTGAATAAATAATCCTGAAAGCAGCCTCCCCATGCAGTTGCTAGCAAGTCTTTGATGTGACAGTTAACATAGATGTTAACACTTCAACCAGAAACCCCAGGCTAAACTGTAATCAATTCACCAGCCACTCTGTAAACGTCACCTTGTAAGCAAGTTTTGCGTTACAAACACTGCTTTTTTCCCCCTCCTCTCCCCCCGTGTCTCTCATTTAATGTCTCGACAGGTTGAGATATTCTCCCTGTTGCCAGGGCAACAATGTCTCTCGCAAGCCAGGTGCTTGTGACAGAAGAGCGAGGGTATAGAGACAGAGTCAAAGAGGGAGGCTGAAGGAATGAGCAGAACAATGTAAAGCCAGCTTTAGAAAGGGTTAGGTAACCTCGAGAACCGAACTACAACGCCTCCAAGTCCTCTTCCCAGTGGAGGACAACATTTCATTTTACAAGGAAGCACACATAATGCCAATTCAAGCGAGTCTGATTCTGGTAATCCTGTTATCTTGCACCTACTACCTTCCTCTGAGGCTAAAAATAGGATTGAAGGCATTGTGAAATACAGTGCTAGGCTTTACCATTGACACTGGTGGGGGGGTGGGTATCGTTAACGAACTCCAAGTGTTAAAAAAAAAAAAAATACAGTGTGAATTACACCGAAGCTCCCCTCTGTTTTATCTTTCAGCGCCTCAAGAAGAGCTTCGCTGATCTGCTGCTAGAATTTGAGCTCATTCCAGATACTACACAGAAATCCACTCCATCGCCGACTGTGAAACGGCACGGGCTCCACACGTTTGCCACGTCAAGACTGGGAATGGCCCTATTTGTAGGGACCCTAATCCGCTTTCTCCCTGCTGAGACAGCAATAATATTCTTGTCTCTGGGTTTCAGCTGTGGTCCTGCGGTGCACTATGGTCCACATACATAAAGCAAGGCAGAATTTGGAGAGGAGTGATGGGATACATGGGCAACGTGTATTCCTACAACTACTGTATGAGAGAAGGATAGAAAGAAGCACAGAAGAACAGCCCAGCACGAGGTCTCCTAAATATAGTAATGTGAAAAACTTCATTGCAAAGAGAGAGTTTTCTCATTGTTATATTTGATCTGGATGAAGCTAAGGCAGCTTTGCCCTCAGTGTGTTTCAACCATCTGTTAAAAGGGGATAAGAGCAGAGGAGAGGCATGCTGAGATCAAAAGACACATGGGGAGAACGTAATGAAAAATATGATGAATATTATTTTTGGAAGTTCAATCACACACACAAAAAAACCCTCCAAAAAAGCCTTCATCTTGTCAAGTCATTTAGTCTCACATCGAGATGCTGACACCTTTTTTTTCCCTTTATCGGGAATGTGCCAGAAATGACTGTCAGTATCCTAAAAAAAATAAGGCAGACTGCTACATCCGAGTCAAGAAACTCACACTGGATTTTATTAAAATCTAACATACTGTACTATTTTTTTTTATTTACTTTAGATCTTTCCATTGCACAGCACCTGTCAGGTATTAACACTAAGAATGCACAAACAGCAGTGCTCAAAATCTAACATAATATACTCTGCATACTACTCTGCATAGCAAAGGTAAATTTGTGTATGCCTTAAATAACCATAATTACATTTCACAATGGTAACTGCAGAATGACTGTGACTTATGGACACAATTAAGGTTTATGTCACGTTGCTTGATTATGTCAAATCTTTAAATGTCTACATTGCAAAATGGATGGGTCCTTGCATGTGACTGTTTTCATCCAGTTGTGATCCCAAGTCTCGGTGATGAAGTGCCAAAAATCGGCTGATATACACTTTAACACGCTTTGCATTTGGAAAACTTTTTAAAGAACTATTTTTGCGTATACAGTCTGTATGAGGCATAATGAAGTCACAATTCCCTGTAGATGAAGCTGTGAAGTTCATGCACCCAGCTGCCACTTTATTTTTAACTCAGCAGCAGCTTTAAAACAGTGCATCTCAATTTTAAAGTTCCTCTGCGTTCAGGTTGTTATCAAGTCTGCTCCCATTGGTGTATGTGTATTAGCCTCCTAAAATCCAATCTTTACTTTCTTTCTTTTATATTTAGTTAGAACAGAGGTGTGTCTCATATTAAGTACAACCCAGGAAAGGGTTTGCATGCCAAATAGAAATTATCATTACCACATCATAGCATGTACTCAACTGCTTCCACAGAGGTGCAATTCTCAGTAGCTCTGATTATTATTATTATTATTACAAAGCACTATAAAAAAAAAGAAAAGACAAAATATCTGTGGGCAGAAGTATAAACTATTTAATGGCACATTAGGCTTCAATAATGATGACAAAACATCCTCTGATTACCAGACATTTTCTACACAGAGAAATATCTGGAAAATGGCTCAGCAGCATAATGCCTGTTCACAGCCTGTTCCTTACAGAGAAAACAAACAGAAGGGTGAGGGTGACCTCTGCAGGCCGTTCACTTCCAAAACCTTTAGTTTCAGTTATCAACACTTAACCAACTTTTAGAAATGAATTTCAAAAAAATGAATGTCACACAACAACATGAAAATAATTCAATTAATTTCAGAACATGACCTGCAGTGCTTTCACTGTACCTTTAGGCGCCCGACGTTTCTTGGGTTCAGTAGCAACAGGGAGCTGAAATATGTGACAAACAAGACAAGCAGAAAAATAAATAACAGCAAACAGGAATCTGAAAGTCAAGTGAAAAACAAAAGTTTCCTCAGGATTCTATGCAGGCCTGTGAAAACCTACATCATCCTTACTTCTTCTATACGAATTAAGAATGTCAGTAGCCGCCAGCCAATCAGATGTACTTAATTAACTCATCATTGGCAAGTGTGAGCACCTCTATCAAAGATGATGTTTTGTTTAGTTTGCTGGTTTGGAGTAAACAGGTGTGTTTTAACACAATGCAACAACCTTCCCAAGGCGTCCCTTCAAAATCACCCCAAGGTCAGATGTTTACTGCTCAGAGAAAATGCAGGAAAAAAATTCCAAGCACTACATCTCAGACTCTAAAGGCCTCAGTTAGCATGTTTCAATTTAAAGTTCATGAGAGCACAATTAGAAAAAACAGTTATGGCTTTTCTGGTAGGATTGTCAGGAGAAAGCCTGGCATCACAGCTTAGGTTTGAACCAAACTCCAAGAGTTCTGAAAAATGTCCATTGGACAGATGAGATCAAAGTACAGATCTTTGGTCATGATGCACAGCGCTGTGTATGGTAAAGATCAACACAGCATATCAGCACAAACACCTCATACCAATACCATGGGTGTGTTTTGTAGCCAGAGGACCTGAGCACCATGTTATTGACTCGATCATGAACTCTCCTGCATAAAAAAGTGCAAGAGAATGGCTGAAAAAGAAAACAATCAAGGTGTTGCAATTGTCCAGTTAAAGTCCACACCAAAACCTGACTGAAATGCTGTTCCAGGAGCTTAAGAGAACTGTGCATAAACAAATGTTCACAAACCTTAATGAACTGAAGCAACTTTGTGAAGATAAAGTCATGCAGAAAAGTATTACTAATAATTATTACAAGTTATTGCTTTTACATGGTACATCTACAGGCTATTGAATCATGGGGTGTACATGGTTTCTCAGAGCACTGCACAGAGTCCTGCAAAAACACATGACTGTTCACATGACTGTGTGGTACACAGTAAAATAATCCTCGGGCAGCCCTCACCAAAATACAGAAAATCCTGTCCACTCAAAAACTGAAAGAAGGCTGTGTGGGAATGTGGGCCAACAAGCTGAATGACATGTGTGTTTACTTAATGAACAGAGAGAGAGAAAACACTCTTTCCCAATCAAACAGCAGAAGCATGCAGATCTGTAGGGTTGGATAGACTTGGTGACCAAACACTGCCTATTTGTCATCAATTCAGTTTATAACTTCTATGGACAGAATTTCTAGGCATAACCAAAACATACTGGAGAGATTATGTCTCTCAACTACTCTCTCTTCTCAGTGTTCCTCCAGAAGAGCTGGAGGAGGTGAATGGGGAGAGGGTTGTTTGGGGGTCTGTGCCAGCATGCTGCCACCACATCCCGAATAACCATTAAATGAAAGATGAATGGAATGATATATTACATTAATGCATTTTATTACAATTTTTGAGATGTACCGGTAAAATTTTGCAGTGTAACGTGCTCCTGTGTATGTTCTGTTCAGTGACTGCAACAACAGTAACATTTGCTATCTTCACAATGTACAGGTAGATGCACGCATGCGCAGTTCTTCTCGCATCACATATTTTTCTTCCCATATTTGACCTCACTTGTGGATTGTTTTGGATGTGGTTGCTGATGCTTAGCAGTTTATTGATATTCTCTACATGTCATTACACGCTGAAAGTTATTATGCCACAGCGATAATATAACTGGGATTGGTCGTAAGCCGGTTAATGAAAAGCTGCTTGATAACGTTTTCTACGTTATCGTATATTAAGGGTGGGCTAAAGCTTCCCAAACAGTCCACAGCAATCCTGCCATTCTGCCACAGCTACAGCTGTCAGCGTTAAGGTTTAAATTTGCCCTTGAGTGAGTGAGATTAGTCTCGCAAGTTGCCGTTAGCTGCAGCTTAATCAACTTAGCGCAGACTTAGAATAGGCTAGCCACCTAGCTAACTAACGTTCAAGTAAGCGTTACAGAAAGCGTGTGGTAAAACCTGGCGTCGGGCTTTCTCGCGAAGTGTCACACTTTCATTGTTTTTCGAGTCAAGTTTGTGTTTATTCAAGAAAAGGAAGGAGCAGCTCGCATCGCACTCACCGTTGCGGTTGTTTCCGCGTCCGCCATCTTGGGATGATCAACACTAGAAGCTGTTGCCATGGATACGTCAATGGCGCGCAGACACGTAGCTGGTTGGATTTGTGCTCTCGGATTAAAGAAAAAAAAACTTTATTTACAAAAAAGGGTTTAAAAACCATTTTTCGTCTTTCATAGTTTTCACTCGATAAGATTCTGTGTATTCTTAATAAATAATTACACCACATGATTCAATAGCTTGTAAAATCACTTTTAGCAGCAAGAACTTAAACTAATAATTTTCTGTATGGCTTTATCAGTCTTTTAAATCATTGCAGAGGAATTTTGGCCCACTCTTCTTTACATCATTTATTTAGTTCATTGAGGTTTGCAAATATGTGTTTATGCACAGCTCTCTCAAGGGCCCAGAACAGCATTTCAGTCAGGTTGAGGTCTGGACTTTGACCGGGCCATTGCAATCTTTTCTTTTCATAGAATTGATGCTGTGCTTGGGATCTGTGTCCTGTTGTGTATCGTCACTAGACTATTTCAGTATACACAGGAGTTCATGGTTAACTTAGTGATTGCAAGCTGCCCAGATCCCATAGCTGCAAAACAAGCCCAAATCATCACCCTTCCTTAGTATAAGGTGTTTGTGCTGATCTCGTGTTTGTTTTTATCAGACATGCCATTGTCAAACGTCTCCGTTTTTTTTCTCCATAATAAAAGATCAGCTGATGTTAGTAACAGACCCTTTAAATCCTGTAAGTTGGGCTGAAGTTCAGCAGAGGAAAGGGGTCAGCGTGTACACTGACTATACACACGTTCTCACAACTTTCTATCAGAACCACGCTTAAATATTTAGGCAATTTGAGCTATAGTAGCTTGCCTGTTGGATCGGACCACACAGCACAGCCCATAACCCTGTTGCTGGTTCACCCCTGTTCCATCCTTGGACCACTTTTGATAGATAAAAATACACTTCTAAGAAGACCACTTCCAAGACTTCAATTCAGAATTTTATAGACAGTACAGTTTATTGAATGTTAAGATTGAGAATCAATTTCCAATGCATACCCCAGCAGTAAATATGTTTAAATAAGTCACCAATATTTACATAATCTTAACACATTTTGATCACAAGAAAACTTCACCAGTTGTTCCACAGGCTACAGATAAAACAGGGCATTAAAAGTCTTGAACGTGAATGGTCACACAAAGATTTGTATGTTACTTCTGTTTAAAGGCACTGAGGTACAAACATCAGATTGGGAGTATACAGTGTTTATATACTTTTTACACACACACACACACACACACACACACACACACACACACACACACACACACACACACACACACATAGAGACAACTTGTGTGCAGACAAGTAGTTTCACACACAGAGGAGGTAGTAGAAACATCCTAAAATTACAAGGTGCAGACAGGAAAAAACGTAAAACTACCATGGGCACAAAGTCAAAAATATTGTTCTTTCTACTCATTAATGCACTTTTCATGTAAATACATTCAAATTCTATACTTCCAGTAACTTTACATTAATAAACCAGTACCTCCCCCCCCCTTTCATTTTTAATCACAGCAAGTCTCTGTATTATGCCAAGTTTTCTTAACATGAATTAAAAGGTAACATCTTCATTTGCTTCAAGAACAGCTTTAAGCCTCACTTCATTAAAAAGAAATATCAGTAAGCAGATAAAACAGTACAAATGACCTCTTTATCCCATCACCTTCATTAATCAGCAGCTCATCCTGTTGTCATATACACATCAAAACATCAAATTTGGAGATCAACGTTTAAACTGCACAGTAATGTAACAGTATGCATTTATTATCATTTATACTTTTACAGGACATCCACTGTGCATAAAGTGTATTATCGGTATTAATGCACTTATAGTCAGGACAGTTATCCTGCAAGGTTCTGTATGCTGCTGTAATGTGAAAAACATTTTGTAGATCCATTGTTCACAGATGGGGGGGGGAAAAAACAAAAAAAACCATTCTCGTGTCAAGTGAGAATCCAACCTTGGACAAAGAGTATATTTCAAGCCTCAGTATGTCATTCCTACATTAGCAGGAAAAAATCCTGATACTTTTTACCGGGATCTTTAAGAATTACTGGATTTAAATCAGTGTTTCTTATATTGCAGATCATCTCACATGTATCTCTTTAGTCTACTCTGTTAAATGCTTTCAATAGCGATGCAGTGATGAAATGTTACAATTTTATTTGTGTGGCGGCCTCACCTTGCTCTCTATCTAAACCCCAGCTTCAGATTTCCTACTGGACATTTCTCTAAAGCATAAATGAATATGACATATGCTGATGAGATCTGTGCAGGTCTTTACAAGTTCCATCCATTTTATTTTTGCATTTTATAATCTTTTTTTTTTTTTAAATTAATGTACCATCTCATTAGTTCGTCAATCATCTATGAAGCTCTTTGAATTGCACTGTCCTTCATCAAAGGTGCTATACAAATAAAGTTTAACTGAGGGTAGGTTCCTATTCTTGGAAGATGACTTTATGTCTTTAGCTACACATCTTCCTAAATTACACAATCTTTATTATTATTTAGTTTTTTAGTGGACATGGAGAATGGAGACACCCCACTTGGTATATTACTCATAAGTTACTTGCTTTTTGCCCTTTTCCCTAAAAATTCCTTTACACCAACTGCATAATGTTGGGACGTGGGTAGCCCGGTATGCTGGTCAGAAAAGAGAATAGCCAGAGACACAAAACTTGTAGAAATCACACTAATTTTGGCTCCTGCTAAAGGCTCCCTGGGCAGCGGAGGTAGCAGCGGAGGTAGCAGCATTTTGGACAGTTCGGTTGCTCAGGACACCTTGTGAAAACTCCTGCTGGGCCTTGGTGAAGCTGGCACCTGTGTTTCTGTATTTAGAGTGGACCTAGGATGATAGGAAAAGACAGAATATTTTAAACAATGACAGGAGATCAAATGATGAAACAGTGTTTAACCTGCTGGTTCCTGTAAGGTTCGGTCCATGGTTCTTATGTCTACAAAGGAGCTCATGAGTTCAGTTTCATTGATCTGTTAGTGAGGAGGATATCTGAAAATACAATAGATATCTAGTGGAGACTTATGAGCCAAGGAACAGACTTTTTTTTTTTAACGGTTGTTTTTGTTCCCCCCCCTTTTTTTTTTTGCATTAAGATGAAATATTGTGTCCACTTTCTAATTAATTATTGTCTTTAAAAACCAAAAGACACTCCTGGAATTTCTACATGGAGGTAAGTCTGTACAGTAAGTGCATTCAGCACACACACTTGGTTTGAAAATTTCCTCTGAAGCTGTTCAAAGTTTTTGTCACCACCTGATTTTTAGTTTGTCTTTGATGTAGCTTCCAGATATAAATGAGAAAAAAATAACATTTATATATGTACACAGTATAAGTCATCAACAACTGTCAGTGCGCCCCAGGGTGGCTGTGGCTACAATGTAGGCTTGCCATCACCAGTGTGTGAATGTGTGTGTGAATGGGTATGTAAAGCTGGATATGTAAAGCGCTTTGGGGTCCTTAGGGACTAGTAAAGCGCTATATAAATACAGGCCATTTACCATTTTAAAACATGTTTAAAATACTTGGCTTAGGGTTCTTCAGTTCATCAAGATACATTATATTGAATCTGACAGGTTCATAATAAAATAGTAATCAGATTACCTATAAAAATACAATATGTAAACAGAAGTTTTACTTTTGCGTACCATTTTCAGCAGGATGACAGCCAGCACAGAGTTTACAGTGAAAAATCCAGCCACTACCATCATAACCACAGCCACAGCCAGGTTCGTCTTGATGATGGTGATTGATGTTATCCATCCACTGTCAAAACCAGAAACATGCAAGAGGAAAAAAGGTGTAATTTCACATTTTCTCTGTAATTATTATAGTACACTGAAATTCTTTTTTTTGTGGATTAAAGAGAAATACACAAACAACCAGATACCAAATGTAAAGCATGAAGTTTGTAAAAATGACACATGGAAACCTGAGGAGCTTTATACATGATAGAAAAGAACTCCCAAAATAAAAGTTACACACACTTACAAAGCAGCAACCCAGATTTATTAGGGCAGCAGGAATCTGTCAAAGAAATGCAATAGAGGAGAGACAGGAGAAGAATTCACACACAAACACGTGTGAATGAAGAGATGTGGTGGTCCATGCACACTGAATGTATCCCAAAGCAGCATGCACATTCATACAATGAAAAACAGAATCTTGGTGCACTTCCACCACACGTTCAGGTAGTGTAGGAAAAAAGAAAAAGTAAATAAATCCCACTGACCTGTTGCCCCAATGGGGAATCCCCACAGTTTGGATAATGTAAACTGCCACTTGGAAGAAGAAGACGAAAAAGAAGAAAAAGAAGCTGAAAGAGCTGTCAGACCTATGGAGGGAAAAAAGGGGACACATTATTAATGCGAAGGTGCTCACTGGTTTGCTGACATATTGCACAATAGAGATAATAAGTTTCACAATCGCATGAAGTCATAAAAATGAGTCTGGAGGTCATTTACAGTTTGAAGACTTGTATTAAAGTTCATAAGTGTAAACAATACCAGTGACACAGCATACCTAAAGGCCTTGTAGACCGGCCTGTACCAACAGACGAAGGCCACAGGGGTGAACAGAATGAACCAAAGAATAGCCAGACCAAAGTCAACGCCATAGTTACTGTCAATGGTGAAGCAAGCCAGGCAGGCCAGCACGTTGAGGAAGAGAGTGGCACTGTGGACTGGAGAGGTGCAAAAGAAAACCAGTGACGCAGACATACACTTATAATACAACACTGCTTATAAAAAGCTCCGGTGAACCAAACTCTGTGCACTTTGAAACTAATAGGCATGAATGGTGTCTTTATTATTGTTATTATCATCTCCTTCGTAACAAATTAATTTCCCAAATGTGAGGTAAATAAATTATTTCTCGACGTTTTAGTGCAGCAATTGTGACTTTAAACAATCTAGTATCTTGTAATGGATCAAGTTGATTCATCATGATTCATTTGTAAAGAAAAAAGTAAGAACTTCAGCAAAAGTATGAGTGGAAAGTCTTGATACATATTTAAATTTAGCATGTTAAAAGCTGAGATCTGATGTACTATACCATCCTTTTAGGTCAGTGATTGGCATATAAAATGCTACAATCAGGGGTACATACACATCCAGAGGTAGTACATTCGCTTGCACATCCTGCGGTAGTCCTCGGGGATTTCCTCCTCAAAATTCTGATAAAAGCAGGGCTTTATAGGGAAGAACCTTGGAAGAGGTGGCCAGTTGTTCTCTTTAGCTGACAGGAAAAGATTTAAAAACCTTATTATCATTTAAGACTTAACACATACTCAACACAACTACATCAAATACCTGCAGCCACTTACCTCTGGGGTTCGATGCGCTGCCTGCCTGCCTCCTGTTCTCTAGCTCCTGTTCCTTCCGCTCCAGCTCTGCTGCTTTCCTCTCCAGCTCCTCCTGCTGTTTGATCAGGTTAGCCTGGGCAGCAGCTGCTTTAGCCTGATGTGTGATATCAGACCTGCATCTTAATACTGTCTTCAGCATTGTTGAACACAATTTCCTCATACATGTACTGCACTAAAATAACCATCCAAAGTGCTGCTTTCTTGCAGTGATAAGCTAGATGGTCCCTGCAGTAAAATGTGATGACTTTTGTGGCGGCTCAGGATGTGCACCAGGTTGTCTACCAGCAGGTCGTTGGCTAGATCCTCCACCAATCAAATCTGTGTGCCAAAGTGTCCTTGAGCAAGACATTGAACCTTAAATGAATTACCTGTGATGCACCAATCAGAGTGCAAGTGTGTGGGTGGTAGAGAAGCATTTCTTAGCATTGTTTATGTATGAACTGGACCAGGACTTGGATACAGACTTTCTACTCAGTTGACCACTCAAAGTTCTTTCTACTATACCTCTCATTCATCCAGTCACACACATTTATACATTATTCATGATTAAGTGCTTACTAACATTCTCTCACACACACACACACACGCACACACGCGCACACACACACACACACGCACACACACACGATCCAGTGGATGCATCGGGGGGCACTCAAGGATCAGTATCTTTTCAAAGGAATGCAAATGTGGAGTCAGGGATTGGCCCATCGACCTTCCGATTAGTAGGCGACCACTCAAGCTACAATTGACCAAGTAAAGAAAAATAAATATACTCATTCTTCTCTGCATGGTAGTGTCTTGACTTGCATTTCTTGAAAATGTAACTTAAATCAGTTAATGTTGTCTGATCTCATTATTTAAACACGCTGAAATGCATTCGTCTCACTCACTTTTGGGTTCTGCTCCACAGATGTCTGTAGTACAGCTGGTTGAGAGGGTGCAGCAGAGATAGGGATTGTCGTCCCAGAGTGCTGTCCCTGTAAAAAAAGGTTGAAGCAATATCTCTTTTCAAATATATTTTCATAAAACCAAAGGATTTGGTTCCTGCTGAATATCATATCACACTATGATATGAGCAGTTCCATTAAAGACACAAAGGCTGACCATTTCCGGTGAAGAGAATGGGTTGTAATCCCCGACGTTGTCATTGACTCTGCTGGTGGCTTGTGTGACTGAAGCATCCTGGGAAGAAGAGAAAAAAAAAAAAAAGATCAAACACACTGTAAGGTGTGACACTGAGAATCCATGACTGTTCAGCGTTTATGTGGTGCCAACTGTGGAATTATAGGAGTGTCCCATCCAGTGGAGGAGCAGCACCTGAACACTGAATTTTCTCTCACCAGATTATCTGTTAATAACACTCTTTGCCCTGGACCACATTTGTTTCAGTTAAATTACAGTTTGTGTGTGTGTGTGTGAATAAAGATTAAGCATCCATTTCTTAAGTTAAAATGTCAAAGACGTGTGGATTCATAAGCATTACTTCCTAGGTCTATAAGACATTAAAAAAAAACAAACAAAGAAAAAAAAAACACTGGTCTGTAAAACATAAACAAACAACAACAAAAAATATACAAAGAAACAAAACTATCTATAAAGTTAAAAGCAGCGTCACTGGCTTGCTACTGGGGTTTCTAGTTAATGGTGTCATCTATGAATAGCTTGTAAAAGAGAACTCCCGGTTAATGGCAGGCACCTGTTCTCGGGTCTGCTCACCTGCGCAGGTGAGCTCAGAGCACACTTCCAGCGAATATTCACAGTTTTAACGTAAAAATGTTTATAAGCGCATTGAAACGTGTCACACTTAACAGTGGCGATTCTTAGCCAGGAAATGCTGAGGCCAAACCCAGCAACCAACCAAACAGGTTTTTGTTAGAGCATATCTTTGTATTCACTTTACACCAGAAAACGAAAAGCTTCTGAAACTCGATTCGCGGGCAGAAACCAACCAACACTCACCTGGAAGGGATTTACGTCCATTGGGTCAGCGAAAGGGTTACTGTCGAAACCCGACATTGCGAGAAAAGTTTATATTGCGTAAAATAAACAACGACGGCACCCTTCTCCCCGGCGGCTCTCGCTGGTCCTGCTCCTACTGATGGTGCTGTGCGACGCCGGCGGCACTGCGCATGCGTCGCTTGTGTGGGCCGCGTCACCGAAGGTTGGCCGGAGTCAATTAGCCCTCCTTTATTTTTAGCAGTAATGCGAATTGGTTTCAAATGAGCGGTTCTCGTGACAGTCTGTCCACGCCGATTATGTGTGTGTCGAAATGAGAGCCAGTCTGCGGAGGTAAACGCACAAAGTGAGCTCCTTTTTAAAACTTTCCTCAATGTCCTCGAGGGTTTGAAGTTGCCTTTAGGTGCTGTGGAAATAATAGCTTATTTAAACGACTGAGCAAAATCACGAGTTCACCGGGAAAATAAGAATTACCTGATCTGCTACTGAAAGACAGATTTTTAAAATTGTTTGCTGAACATTGTGGCTCCAGTTTAAAAACAGTACCTACAGTCCAGTACTAACAAGCTTGATAGTCAGCGTTTTATATAATCACCTTTTATTCTCCAGCACAGCCTGAAAAGCTTTCATTTCTTAAAATAATCTTCAGGAATAGTTCTCCAGGCTTCTTGAGGGCCATTCAAAGCTTTTGTTCTGTTCTCTGTCAAGATGACCCCACACTGTTTAAATGGTTTCCTATCCAGGAATGCTTTTTGCAGTGTGGATTTTCATGTTGTAATTTTATGCATTTATTTATTTATTTTTTTGTCTAAACTGTATTGTTGTACATTGACGAGGTGTTACTCATTGTTTTTGTAGGACCGTTGCAAATAAAAAGTAGTCTTCTGGATACATCTGGCATATTCACATTGATATGTTCATTAATATGTGTTGTCCCTTTTTAAAAAAATAAATTAAGCTAAATTTTCAGGGTGTTTGGGGGTGACTAATGCTGAAGAATGAAGCGTCACTAGTCAGATGCTTTTGCAAAATACAGCAGTACTTTTCTGTACTGTTGGATTTTGACAAGATCTCCAGCACCAGCCTCCATCTTATTGTACAGATCGCTGGGCCAGATGTGTCTCTCAGGTTGTATTACTGAATTACCAACCTTACTAAAAAGAAATGGGCCCCCAGCCATACATCTGGATTGGTTTGATAAGAATACATCCATAAACTATATTACCATTACCAAAATCAGCTAATAAAGGATGAAAGAATGCAGGAAACAAAGTATGTAGTACCTGTCCTACTTCAAGAGGAAGACGCTTGAATGGGGTCTTATTTCACTTTCCAGGTGAGAACAGACTGCAAAACTACAAACTGATAAGACCTGTAACATGAAACAGTCCATTTATCCAGTCTCTCTGGATAAATGCTTGTTACAGAATACACTGAACAAATCATCAGATCGATACAAGGATGAGTATAAAGAAAAAATGGTGCCACTTGTCGTCGGTCGTTTACAGAAAGTACAGATACAACTTGGTGCTGAATCTCTGGAAGGCCCCTGCAGGGATGGAGCACCATTTTTCTGACAGATATTTCCTCATTTACAGTTTAATGGTGACAGTCCCCCTGTTTGTGTCATACTTGTGTGAACATCATGGTCACCAGATGTTCCCTGTTGATCATCTCAGTCTTCCATCCTATTTACTTATCTCTTTCCCACAGATTTATTGTAGATGACACTTTAGTCATTGCATCCTTCACAAACAGCCAGTTTATATTTAACTCAATCTGCTGCCAGCCATCTCTCAACAGTGAACCTTCTTTCAAAGGCTCTCCATTCTTTCTTCTTGATAGAATTTGTTTTTAATGCCACAGAGCAGACTGGCTGTTAATTAGACCATACAGCGTTCCTGTGTGGAAGTATCTGTACTTTCCACTCATTTATACAGCTCTGAAATGTGTCACCCAACTATCACAAAAAAAGCCTGTAAAAAAAAAAAAAAAAAAAAAAAAAAGAAGCCATTTTTGCCTTTTGCTTGCAGTGACAAATGGCAAGTACAATAAACAGACAAAATCACACCCCTTAATCTTTGAAATCAAGCTTTCTGTCCCATTGGCACAGGTGTATAAAACCCAGCACCTAGCCATGCAGCCTGTCTTTACAAACTTGTTGTTCTAAAGAGCTCGCTGAATGTGAGTGTTGAGCTGTAATAGGATTCTAACATGTTTGTTTAATGCTTGCTTAGAGAGGCAAGGTCTTTACAGTATAAAGAATTTTGAGGCAACTGTTGTGATTTGGTGCTTTATAAATACAACTGAATTGACTATCCCATGATCTTCTGTAAGTGATGTCTTTACAAAGTGGAAGTGTTTAGGAGTCACACCAACTCATTAATGAAGTGCAGACCAGGTAAAAATCACAGCTTGATCACTGAATGCTGAGGTGCATGGTGTGTAAATTCGCCAACGCTTTGCTGACTCAGGAGCTCCAGACCTTCTGGCATTAACATCAGCACAGAAACTTTGGGCTGGTAGCTTCGTGGCATGGGTTTCCATGGCCGAGCGGGAGTAATATATGAGTGGCTCACTTTTGTGCAAGTGTATCAAGAAATGGTAAAATGCTGTGCAACAATACAAGCAGAAGAGAATCAGAAATATGATAATAAATTAGTAATATTAGTGGTGGAGGTGGTAGAGAAGGTCAACTAATAATTAGAAGGTTGGTGCTTCGATCCCTGGCTGCTCCAGTCTATATGCCAAAGTGTCCTCGGGCCAGACGTTGAATCTCCAAGTTGCTTCTAATCTAGTCACCAGACAGTGAATGTTACGGTAGATAGTGCTAGTGCTTATATTAGTGTTTGAGTGAATAAGACCTGTATTAAGCCTTTTGTGTGCTTAAGTAGAAAAGCGCTATATATGAACCAGTCCAATTAGCATTTTGTAACAGAATAGTAATATTGCAGACATTATGGATTACAACAGCCAACTACTGTGTGCATTCAAGGGTTTTATATTGTTTGTTAGTCTAAACCTGCTAATTGTTCTGGTTTGGATCACATTGTTTTTGCACAGTTAATCCAATCTAACTACCCCTAACTACCTAATGTCAAATTCCCCTACTGGCTCATGCACAACTTGGAATTTCTTTGTCTTTTTCATAGAACACAGTTTGACATGCCACACTGGGGGAAAAAGCAGAATAAAATTATAGATGACTGGATAGCATTAGCTCCTTCAGTTTCAGGGTCATTACATAGCGCATGGCTGACTCACTATCATGAATAATTAGCAGTGGGACTCTAAATGTGCCCCTGTTAGCATTATTGTTATTAAAATGAGTAATTCCCTATTTTAAACACAGGCCTAAAGAAAAGAATTGCACTTATGCAGTTGGACATTTTCAACTAAAACATTCACACATTAATAATGACAAGACACAATGATTTTATGTTCTTGCATGGTTGCTATTGAGCAAATGCTTAAGAGACAGAAGAGAATGGCTTTGGGAGTGGGTAATAATGGATTTCAAGAATAGAATGGCATTTGTTCTCTATACTGTACATATGACCTGTACTGTACATAACAGTTGTATGGCTGTTAAGCGGTGAATGCAGGAATTTTATCACAGATTCCAACATTCCTAAAGAGCTGGGATCCCCTTGGCTGGAATACACACCAGCTGACTTGGTCCCTTTGATGGCTGTATTTCCCTTGTAAGGGGAAAAAGAAAAAAAAAAAAAAGCAGCACAAACTTAAAACACATTAAGTGGGTTTTTTTCTTTTCTGTCTCACACAAACATACAGTCACGCATGAGCTCTCGGCACATGTACACAACAGAAGTGTGGGATCCACTGCCCAAACCCAAACATCTCTGTTCAAGAATCTCAATTTTAAAAAACCAAAAATAAACAAAAAACAAGATAAATATTTGACTTCAACTACCCAGCAGAGGCTGGTGTTCCGGCTTTGTACAGTATTTATACCTGTATATTATATGCTATAAAGAATTTCTGTGACATTAAAATTTTTAAATAAGGGAAAAATTATTTTGTAATAAAGCATCCGCTGCTTACATTTATTGTAAACTCATAAAGCAGCCTATAGTCGTGAGCTTTAAGTTCACTGTAACATCTGCGACGCCTGATGGTGCCTGATTTGTTTTTCTTCTCAATTTCTGTAGTACACTGCTTCAGCTTTCCAGCTCTGTAATATTCCCTGATGCAGTGTTTTCTTCTGCATATTCCAACATTCCCTTTTCTCTGTCCTCCTGCTCAGTTTGTCTCCTCTTGGCGCCGAGTAAAGAGTTGCCAAGACACTGTGAGAGCACGATTGGCAGTTTCATCCACAGAAGAGCCCATCTACTGATTCTTGTTTCTCTTCCAGACAATTCTCCTCCCCGCCTCAGGAGGGGGAAACACTGTACACAGCACTTGGGGAAATTTCTTTGCAGATTTTAAGAATGAAAGGCTAAGCAAGAGTGGTTTGAGGAGTGGAGATCAGTTGCCAGTTTGTCACCTCCCATTGGGAACATGTATGCCTGGCAGGAAGTTGGATAGGGATCGCTTTGGTGTCTCATTGTCCTTCATACCATGAATTCATTACTTCCATATACTACCACAGGCTGTGGCATGTCTGAAGGGTCCCTGCCATGACCACCACCTTCTCTGGAGGGCCTTGGGGCAGTATGTTTGGCTCCCTTAAGTTTCTGCTTACCCTTATCTGGATTGTAAGTGCCTCGGCTGGTAAACTGGGGCCTTTCATCATAAATCACTTCCTGATCTCCGGTAGAGCTGTTGTCTAAGCTGTAGGATGGGGAGGCTATGGGTGGAGTCAGACTCTCGGCCTGTGATGGACCCGAGCTGACACCAGAAGACTTGGACTGGAAACGAAAGCGCCGGGTGGAAGAAGAAGACGATGAAGGATGGAAATGTGATGAGGAGGAGTACGAGGACCCAGTGAAACACGAGTCTACAGAATCCAGAGACGCAGGTTGGCGGCGGAGAACTCTGCGTCGGGGGCTCTTCCCGTCAGATTTCAGAGTCCAGGGCAATGTCAACAAAGGACCTCTCTCTGGAGAAACCCCCACCCAAAAAATGCAAAGAGGTCAATATTTTTTATATGCACACGAAGAATTGTGAATGATAAGGCAGTTTAGAATGATCAGTATGGCATACCAGAGAAGTCAGAAATGGTCTCTTCAGAGTCCACATTAAGGTTTTCAGAGCTGTCAGCTGTACCGATGGAGGCCTCAGACTCCAGGGTCTCATCATCTGATGCTCGTGGCTCCAGAGACAGCATCTCAAAGGTCAACTCCTCCCTGTAGAGACAAGCATCATCCAGAAAAACAAATGAGCTGCGCACAAGTGATGACACACAGCTGGCATCAATGCAACACACAAGCCAGATAATTCAACATTTAAAGCACAGTGAGAATGTTTACTTCTCTTTCTGAAGGCTTTCAATTTCCTCTGTCAGCACCCTCTCTTCCTGCTGCATGGCTGCCTGCTGATGCTCCGGGATGTCAGGTAACGACTCCGCTCCCTCTTCACCGCCGCTCTCTTCTATGGCAGCGTCAGCCATAGGCTGCAGCCGCGGACTAACAGGAGGTGAAGGTATGTGGTAGCTTGGTCGCTGGGAGCGACCTTTTCCCTGAGGAGCAAATCAAGAGTGGACTTTTAATTTTTTAAAATGTTGGTTATCATAAAATGTAAACGCTGTTATATACATTACAGCTCTTTGAGCTGGCAGCTCTTGACTCACACATGCATTGACCAATCGCACCCAGACACAGTTTATGAACAAACTTTACCTTTTTGGCTGCATCTGGTTGCTTTGAGCAAAAGTAATAAGAATCAAAATATCAGCAGTGCCAGGTTCAAAATGGTCGAGCTTAATGTGCAGAAATAATCTGGTAATTCTAGTGACTGAGTGATAGCTACACTTCAGGAGGACACCATCTTGCGCTTCTTTAAAGTTGCAACAATATTACTAATTGCATTATACCATGGGTGTCAAAGCCTGCAGCCTGTGTGCAGGATCCAGTCCACAGAAAGGTTCAATCTCACCCTGTGCATAGATACTGAGAAGGAGTGGAAGGTTTTTCTTTGGACCTACTGTATTTGGCCCCGGGAGGCATTGTGTTGGAAATTGTTAAGAATGAATCACATCATGAGTGGCTATCCAAACTTTGCAAATTCAATCTAAACCAGTATCCTGAATCATCGGTTTTATAGCCTTCAACCTTGGGATCATGAGTTATTTTATTTTCAGTTTCACAAAGAAACTGACCCACAATGTGCTAATTGCTATTTGCTGTATTACACTAAAGCCGGACTGACATTTTATAAATGGGAAGAAAAAAAAAATCACATGTGAGTGAGTTCTTTTATTTTAATAGGTTATACAATGGTCAGCATGTGTTCAAATTTCCTGAACATGGTTCATTAACTAAAATGACTCTGACACCCCTGCGTTACACTAAAATGGCACTTCGTTGGGGAATGAAAGTCTTCCAACCCATCGAAGAAGAGAAGCCAGAAGAAAAAAAACAATGATGACCTATGTCCACAATTTATGTAGACAGTTTCCTAAAAAGCCTTTATGCTGAATGCCCTGAAAACATTCTATTAACATACAGCGATAAAGTAAATCTAATTATGAGATTTAATTGCATCCACGTGAGATGGTAATAGAACACAATATGGCAAGAAGAACAACAACAAAACAGACTCAGTGCCGTGATGACTCGTGCTTGATGGATGGATGACAGATGTTTATATCTCAACATATACTGGATACAGTGTTCTGTACACCACAACACTGGATGATTCTTTGGGGATGCAAACCATGGTGTGTGTTTACATACCATAATGTGTGCTATGCACATAAATCTAACAGCTATTAGTACTGGTCTCTGGGTAAAGGAAAAGACATGTTAGGGAGGAGAGAAGCAGGTTATAAAGGAGGAAATCATGGCAGGTCAAGCAGTGAAGGAGTAAAGGTTAGGTAGATTTACAGTAGTAATGAGTCATTTCTCTGATAACCGTGGGCCTGGTCATGCTGATTGAGCTTACCATTGACCGTCGGATATGCGTCAGTTTGGACTTGGCTTTATTCTCAGCAAACTCCAGAGTGCTGATGTCCTTTAGTCTCACTTTGTACTTATTCATCTGTTCACAGATAATAAGTTCTACGCACCTATGAAGAGGCAGCAAGAGACAAACTTCAGTTACTGGAAATTTCAAACAGTGCTGCAAAACGATAACTTCATATAAAAAGGTATATAACATTCCTCTCCATGCAGTTTTTTTCCCCCCCATACAGTACAATATATGGCATTTCTCTTCGCTTGGGTTACTGATTTCTATGGTTTTCTGTCAAGAAAGTAAATTAAATCTCTCAAGCCACTAACTCTATCCACCATTAGCGAGGAAATCTGCAGCAAAGCAGGCCAAACGCAATTCAAATCAATCCAACTTTATTTATATATTATTATATATATTTATATAGTATTAAACTATAACTCATTTCCAAATACACATATATCAAAGCAAACATTTGGAGACAGCACTGAGGAAAAACAGACCGTATTGAACTGATATGAAGCAACAATGCTGTTCTGTTACTAAGTAATGACTAAAATCACCACAGCTGACCTCTGTTCTGACTGCTTGTTCCTTTGTAACCTTCCCCACTTTCTTCTCTCATCAGTACTGGAGCCAGACTATTTTTATATATATTATTTATATTCTAAATAAAACTGATTCTTCAGTTTTATCAATCAATCATTCTTATTAAGACCATAAGAAAAAAGGAATCTGGAATGTTTGCAAACTTTATTCTTTTCATTAATGCTGTTATTTAAATGGGTGGTTATGCTATTAAAATGTGTGTCAATGGCCATAACTCCGCTTCTGAGTATGTGTTGATCCCCTTCAGAGGCTTTGTTATTGTTTGTGTGGTACAGCCAGGTGTGGTTTATAATGGAAATGGCCACCCTTGGCCACCCATTGGGTCCACAGCTGCGTCCCAGTCATAGAAAGGCATACCAGTGTGGTTTTTCATGCTTAACTTTACTGTTCCGATATGAAACAGATTAAGTCAACATCAGTTTTCCTTTACCAAGATCTATTACCTTAGACAAAGGCAGTGAATTGTTTGACAGACATTAGACATAGCCTTACGCTGTTGTCTTGTTGATGTCCTGGACGCTCTGCAGTGGGTCAGTGGTGTCAGGACAGCGAAGGATGCAAGGAGCAAAAACTATAGCCAAGGCATTAGGTGACATACGATTTGTCTCTTCTTCCAAAGCAATCCTAAAAGAATGAATTCTGCGTTTTACTTGTCTATCAAGAAGGAACTAAATCATCTTCACATATTAAGGAAAAAGCTGTTACCTGACCAGATGAAATATGAGGCGTTCCAGAGTGTTTAGATGAGTTCTGCTTAGCTGGTCAATAACTGAATACACACCTCTGGTCATTTCCTTTTTATCCTGCAAACCTGTGGATTAATATCCCACACAAGAACTCACTTTTTACTATTGCAGCAAACCAATACACATACATTCTGATGTCTGCAGAATATGTGTGGCCAAATTCTCAAGTGCAATTCAACTGAACCACAGCAATAGTCGGCATATGCGACCACTCACCCATGACACGTATGAATTCGTCATACAGCTCAAATGTCATCAGAGGATTAGGCAGGTCTCTCAGCCACTGCTTGAAAACACTAGCAATAACGTGGATGTTGTAGTCGTCCAGATTCATGTTCTCCACATCTGTGGGACCACAAAGACAATGCAGACACAAAACGCAGACACTGAGTAATTGCAAGCAGCTTTTTAAAGCCAGCTAGCACCGTTCACCTGCTCACTGAGTTGCAGCCAAGTTTACCTGTATCAAGTCCCAGCTTGAGCTCCTTAATTTTATTGGTGGAACCAGATTTGCGGTAAATTCCCTCAGTGTAGAGGCCGTGCATCTCAATGTAGTTGATAAGCTTCTCCACTACCAGAGGCACTGTTCTCTCATCGTTAGTCAGGCGAGAAACTTCTACTCCAAACTGTCTGGAGGACAGCTCTGGATCGAACTATTCAGACACAACCATAATATGCTCTTATAAAAACACACATATGACACATGCCTTCACACCATTCAGAGTTCATCCAAAACTAATGTTATAGTTTAAATATCATTAATTCAGCAAACTAAGTACAGTCTTTAACAATTTTCATAAGATCAAAAAGTAGAAATAACACTAACTACTGTACATAAACCCACAACAACACAATTACTGTCATGGGACATCACTGCGACGGTGCACAATATGGCCGACTCACCTTCTTACTGCATTTGGTGGTCGTCTTCTGGCAGCACTTTCTGTGGCAGGCATACCGGCACACTGGATAGACACAGCCATAGAGATCAAACACATCATTTCCATTATCCACAGAAAGACAGTGCCTCCTCATTATTCAGCAGAAGTTGTAAGAAAAGGTTAAAAAAAAAACCATAAAAAATTCAGCACATGAGAAACCAAAGCAGTGTTGGCTGGCACGAAGAAAACATCCTGTGTGACTAAAGGGCAAAATTGTGTGGAGAAATCTCTGGAGACACGGAGCCGCAGACCCCATGAGTCCAGTTGAAAACAATCTGATTAGGGCCGAGGAGGGAGAGAAGGGAGGGGCTCTATCTCTGAGGCCAGACTGAGCACAGCTCGGCCACAGAAGGGGTGTGTGTGTGTGTGTGTGTCCGCGCAAAACTTCATGTGAACATCCACGTGAAGCACAGATGTGTGTCTGTGCGCATTTGCGGTCATGAAAAAGTTAATTCTTTTATATCATATTAATTAAATTAGTTGGATTATGTAACTGATACGCTGGCATTCCCATTGCTATCTTGACCTATCTGGTTTGCATAGTCACAGGAACTTGATTACTTTTGGGGGGAAGCAAGCTCACATAAGCAATTAAAGGTTTACGTTTATGTGTAGAATGAAGGTCATGGTTAGGCTGAGGCCAAGTCTCTATGAAACATATAAAAGTGAAAGTCTAATGCCCTCTGCTATGGAACCAACAGTATGTGTGTCCGTGTATGGAGCACACTGACATCAGTGTTAAGGACATTTCAATTATTTGGTCTTTCCACCACTCTGGGAATTTTTAGTCTTTAACTTCACTCAGCAAGAACCTCGGACAACCTCAACAAGCTCGACTTTATCTGCACCGTTTCCATCAGAGGATGTTTTAAAGGAGTACATCTGGGATTTGCTTCATTATGGTTCAGTTAACTATTAAAAGTGTTATAATTAGTTCATTTTAAAACTACTGATGTTCCTCCATCAGAGGGACTACTCTTCATGTGACAATGCAAATTACAGCATCACATATATTTTACAAAGCAGCACATCCAAGATTAAAACCTTTTTTTGATTATTAATTTTCTGTCACAAACATTTTTGTGCTAGCACGCTCCACATTCAGTGGCCTTCGAAGCGTCCACTTTTCCTGGCTGTATTACACTCAGGGGTTCTTTAGCTGTGACACTGTGCGTGCATACTCACATTTGCACACACAGGCCCGGTCCATCATCCAGATGAGCGACGAGCAATATTCACAGTATGTGGGGATGCTGTACTGGGTGGACTTGAAGATGTGGCCGTTATGCTCCTCCACCTGCAGGGGGCAGCAGAGCACAGGTTCATTTGAGTTTGCGTTCATATATTTTATATTGTTTAAGTGCACTTTTTTCTGATTACATCACAATTTTTTGCAATGATTGTGAGCATGCCCTTAATGTTGACGAGGATAAAGGCAAATTTACATTGTCTGTGTCCTTCTTCCTTCGTTTCTTGCGTTCAGGTTTTGGCAATGGCTGCAGTTAAGAAAAAAAAAAAAAGAAAGAAAAAGACAAATGACAATAAGACAGATATTTTACTTCTTATTATATTTTATTATCAATAAATAGCACCCAGTAGTTTTTTGTAAATATAAATTATTTGTGTGCCTATTCACCTGTACAGTGAGAAGAGTGTCATTACCTTACTGAGTGCACAGTGTGCAGGTTTGTACTCAATCATGAACTCGTCCAGGAAAATCTTAAAGGTGTTCCCCCACACTTTGACAGGAGACTCCCTCCAGTCCCTCTGCTCCTGTCGCATTATCTTCTCCAAGATTTGCTCAAACAGTGCATGAAGGTCTTTGTAGCGGATACTCTTACCATCATCCATCTAGGGAGGAGTCACAGGAAGAGTGCACTATTTATCTTTCTAGTCTGGGAACATGTGACTTTTCAGTTTGAATGGTTATATTCAAATATAAAAAGCCTTCAGAGGATTTACTGCGAGTGCTGTGGAGTAGGAGTTGAAGATATTAAGACGAAATTCCTTCAGAGCCTTTTTAAACACGATGTCCACCAAGGTGTCCTTTTTACTGTCCTCTGCATCCAAGTCGTTGATCTAAAACATGACACCAACATAGCATGATCATAAACGACACTGGACTAATACCTGATGTGCAGTTCAAATATAAAGAATCAAAACTCTGATACTCAAGTTCATCTTCGAGCTCTACGTAATGCAGATGGCATATATTGCTGTACCTTCTTCACAAGGAAGTCGTTCATGCTCCTGTAGTCGCCGATGGAGGTCAGTATCTGCAGCGTGTCATTCTGCCGCTGGGCAGACTCCAGAGCCACGCTGCTGATCTTCACACTACGCCTCCGCTTTACCTTGGGAGATGGCTCCCTGTTCTCTTTCGAGTCTCTAAATGACTGATTTAAGGTCAGATCAGGACTGCATGGCGGCGACATGTTTTCCTGACCTGCTACAAGGAAGAGAACTCCAATCAGTGACGCTTCAGAGGCAACAATATTATTTTTATTCAATATATTTAAACCAATTACATTTATTTAGTAAAAAGCTTTTCAGCATCTATTATCTCCTACTCAACAACTTTCAGTTCTTAAAAGACAAAAAAAAATAATAACAGTATATCTGAAATGGATACATTTTACTCTTGGAAATCACACCTTCTCCAAGCAGAGGACCAGTGTCTCCAGTGTCTCCATCCAAGGCCTCAGCCCCACAGATCAGCTTTTCTCTGGAAGTCTTCTTATCCCCGTACTTGCTCTTGCCCCAAAAACGCGGCCCAAGAATCTTACGACTCCTAGTCGAAAGGAAACAGAAGTGACAAGCAAATGAAAAAGTCTCAAAAGCCCAAATCATACAAAAACAAAAATCGTGTCAATGACAAGACATGGCTGTATGCAGAAGACTCTTTTCTGAAGGTAATAGCACTATGTGATACAATCGATGTGTATATATGTTATTTTGCTCATGTTTTTATATGGTTTTATATAGTTATGCTTTTCTTTTGTGTGCATTTTCCTATTTTTTGCTAGAAATGCAAAGTTGAAGAGCAAACCTTCCATCTTGTGAATTTTTACGTAGCGAGTCCTCTTTGACCAAATCGCCTGATGACATGGTTTTGTGTAGCTTCTTTTTCTCCTCGGAGCTTGCAGGCTGAAACAACATCGGGACAGGTAACATTTTTAAGACAAAATGAGAAGAAGAAAAAAAGAGATTCCATTTGTTCAAGTATGATTATGAGCTGAAGGCAAAAATGAGCCACTAGATGGCAGCACCACATCACTGGTGCTGCACTGGCTGAAATTACATTTTGCCAAACATGATGTAAAAAAGGTATAACACAAATACTAAAGCACAAGGCTTGTAATATAGAGTTGAAAACAAATAATACAGTTCAGTTTTTTTGTAGTTGAGGAGAATAAGAGTTTAAGTGATGGGAAAAAAAAATCAAGACCATATTTTTCTTTTATGATTTTCAAGGTTTGGCTAGTGGCTGGTGTTATCTGCTAAGAGAAAGAAGAATCAGGTGACATGCAAATCTTACTACCAAGGAAGGAACTGTGAGAGAAAATGAAGCCAAATTATGTTAGAAAAGCATCTATGTTAAAAAGCTTCATGTTTCAGGAAGAACACGTTTCAAAAGGTCTCCTGCATCGTGATGCATAAATCCAGATTCACACTCACTGCTGATTTCTAGAGCGGTTATCAAATGTAGTAGTAGATTCAAAGTTGTGATGTGCTTAAATTCACGTCTTTAAAAGCTGACATGAATATTACACATTACCCGAAACATAAAATCCAAAATGATCTCAAGGCAGGTATTCCAATATCCCTTTGAAATACCTGCCAGAAAACTTGTTAATTTTTTTAAAAACTTATTATTGAGAAAAGAGAAATTTATTGGAGCTCATATTGATTCAGAGGTGTGATGCAGACCTATGCTCTCTCTGCTGAGTGGGTTAGAAAGAGAAGCCACGCTTATAAGAACTTAGAGAGGGCCACTTGTGGCTTGGATGGCGCCTGTTACCATGTCTGAGTCACTGAAACAGGACTCTCTTAGGCATGTCTCCGTGGAGCTCTGTTTGGAGTGGGGTAGAGTGTAATGACGGGGGCTGTGGAGGCTGTCGCCATCATAGTCCTCCTCGTCTGAATCGCCCCCAACTGAGAGAAAGGGGGTGCGGGTGAGGAAGTCGGAGCGGGTCCGTGCCATTCTGGCTTTCTTTTTTTGGCCTGCTCTGCCAACCTGGAGTTTACCAGAAGTGATAACAGCATGTTTTAATGGAGCCTTTAATAACCTGAGCTTCAGTGCATCGTGGTCCTCATGTTGGTGTGCTGCGCTATGCTTAGCTGAGCTATCCTGCCAAGATTCATTCGTTCACAATACAAAACTGCACTCCTGAAAATATGCAAACACACGTCAAACAAAATGCTCATTTTAAAAAATTGCTTACATCCCGCGCTTTTGTTCCCTTAGACGATTTGGGCACAGACGTTGGTTCCTCTTTGGAGATGGCAGCTTGTGTGTCTTTAGTGACAGTATCAGTGGCAAACCTGATGGGAAAAAACATAAGCACAGAAAATTTCATCAATGTAGTGAATCTATTAAGTAATAAGCATGAACAAATGTGTCATGCTTATTACTTAATAGAGGTAGAGAACTCCATAGTATGGAAGAAAAATTAAAGACACTCTTCTGTTGCTTCGGAGTCATTTGAAACATCCCAAAATGTATGTTTATTTGGAGAAACGAGACAAGCTCTGTGAAAAGTCCCAGCCTCCACCTCAAATCTGCTATTGTAGTACAAAAAATAAAAATGCATAAATTGTTTAATTTGGTACTCACTTTGCAAATGTCACTTTGTCATTTGGAGAGAAGAAGATGCTGCCAGGCTTATCTCTCATACCAACAGCAGTGCCTTGATCGCTTGGTGGCTTCTTGGCAGTTGCTCTCTCTTTAATTCCTCCCCTGTCTCTGGACTCTAGTGTGAGTTTGGGTGCCCAGCCCTCGGGAACTGGCTTATTCTCCATGTGAATTTTTGTAGGAGGAGAAGCAGGTGGTGGAGGCTGCTGGGGTTGAGGAACAGTGGAGTCTGACAGCGTCCTGGTATGAGGAACCTCCCCTGCTGCTCTCTGAACCAGCACCGAAATGGGTCTGAGGGGCTTCCTGGAGGCTGCGGTTCCACTGACATCTTGTCCGCTCTGTCGACTCTGCTCTATCTTGAGCAGAGCCTCGTCTTTTTGTTTCTCAAACATATCTCTTTCATACTGAGCAAAGTAGAGACGCTGCTTCTCCAGCACTTCCTTCTGACGTCTTATCTGCTCCATCATCTCCTTTTCATTCTGCTGCTGCTGATTACGCTGCCTTTCCTCCTTCTCCTCGTTCAGGCGCACCAGCTTCTCTATGACAGCCTGGTCCGCTTGAGGCACTGAGGTGGGAGCAGGGACGGCAGGTCTGTCTGGTTTCTTTGATGCAGGTGTTAAGTCGCCCGTCTGGGCTGTAGAATCTCGAACTTCTACAGAGGGGCGGACAGCGTTACTCAGCTCCTCACTTAGTGGTATTTCTTTCTGCATACTGATGACCACCACCACTGGGCGCCGTGTTGACTCTCTTCTGTTGATGACGGATGTGGCTGTGGAGACGGCTGCATCTTTGCTTTGTTGAGATTCTGCAGCAGAATGGGAGATTACTGCGCTGCCCTCACCAGCAGGGACATAAAAGGTTGGGAGGTAGTCGACTTTGGGCGGATCTACATGGGCGGGGTCCGTTTTGATCGGGCTGCCTTGGTGGGCAACAGTATCAGAAAGCTCTGTCCTGTATGGTTCCGCTGGCTTGGGGCTTGTTGAAACAACATCCACCTTAGGGTCTGAAACTGGAGAAACTGGCGGGAGAGGGGAGAAGGGGTCCTCAATGTCTGTCACCTCTTCTCTGGCCTTTGGTGGCTCCTCATCCATCATGAGAAGCTCAAAGCTGCCTTTGGAGCTCTGGCTGTCAGGTGTGCCTTGGGGTGAAAGCAGAGGTGGGCTTGCAGGAGGCACCAGCTCAGGAGGCACCAGCTCAAGAGACCAGCGCCGGTCTTCGCACGGGGACGCTGCTCCGCCGCTATTTGCCCGCACTTTGAGAAGCTCCAGGCTGAACTGGGCCTGCTCCAACTCTCTCATCCGCCGGCTCTCTCTCTTGGCCCGGGTGGTTCTCTGGCTAGGTTCATCTGCAGTCCTAGCCCTTTCTCGCACCGTCACAGAGGGTGCTGGTACTGAAGTTGCTGCTTCAGTTTGTGTTTTGGAGGGGCTCTCTTTTGTCGCAGCATCTTCTCCTCCTGCCTCCTTAACCACCTCCTGGAGGCTCTTTTCTCGTTGTTCGTAGGAACGATCCTCCCAAGTGCTGAGGTCCAGTCCCATAATTATTTCTTGTGGCTCCTCCTCCTCGTCTTGCGAGAGGCTCACCTGGCCATTCTGGAGCTGAAGGAGCTGTTCCTGCTGCTCCCTTTTCGCCCTGAGTTTCTGCTCTCTTAGTTTCTTGAAGCTGACAATCAGGAAAGTATTACTGTGTTAACGTAAATTAAACATCTAACATCTTTCATCACTCTTTGTACAAGTAAAGTTACTGATGACAAATTTGATCTAGCTCGAACATTCAGCGGTGTCGGAGTCTCATACACAAATTCTGAGCTCACAGCAGCTCAGCTGTAGAGCTGCTTTGGGACGGATTGCTTGCGTAATTCTATGCTGTTACATGTACCAAGCCTAGCCTGAACAATGCCCAAATACATGGCAGGAGCAGTGTGCAAAGATTAATCTGGTTTTTAACCAGCTTTAGAGGGGGGGAGAAAAAAAAATAAAAATCACACAGTCATCTACTCTTAGAAGCTATTTTCAGAGTATTGACCCTTTTAAAATGCTTATATACCTCAAGTTTCTATAAACAGGTGCATGGCTTACCTTCGCCTGGTGAGGAAGCCTTTGCAAACTGCCTGTAGTTGTATCACAGCAGCATACAGGCGCAAGTCGGCTTCTCTGGCTCGGTGACAGCGCCAGGCTGCCTGAATGACCAGAGCTGCCGTGCAGCGCCGACGGAGCCAGAACCTCCATGCCCTCTGTAGCACCAGAGCAGCCGCCCTCCACAGCCTGAACCTCTGACGATCTCTGTAACCTCGCCAGTGTTTCTGCAGACACAAAGCTGCCCCCTCCTGGACACTGAGGTCATCGTTGTCCTCCTCTTCGTCTATGGACCGGACAGAGCGCCACCATCTCTGTAATGAAAACATCTTTCATGCTCATCGAAGACAACTAATCCAATAATGTACAAGCACCTTCGTTCAAAGTGGACTTCGATTTTTTTTCTTTTTAACTGAGAGTGTAAAATGAAGGAAATTACAATAGTTGGCATAAGGAGGTGGCTGACAATATCATCTGTGAGTGAGGTGTTCTTCCACGTACGTTCATATTCTTTTTGCAAACTTTGCACTGTACTTAACACATTATTACATAGAACAAAGAGGACAATGGGCTGTGATTCATTTTCAGTTACAATACACAGACCCTTTTGCCTGATATAGGCATAAAATTAAACAAAACAAAATTAAAAATCTCACAAATTCTATAGTAAGAACTCAGACATAAGGAAATGACTGATGCAAAGTAGATGGAGATGAAAGGAGTGATGGGGAAGAGCGCTGTACTATACCTGGATGCAGACCGCTGCTTCTCTCATCCGGACAAACTGCTTCCTCTCCAGCTGGGCTCTGAATCGCCGCTGCAGCATGACGATGAGTCTCAGAACTTCCTTGTGGAGGAAGGCCTGCAGCTGCTGACGCTCAGCCTCCCGCAGAAACACCTGAGGGGAGGAGCCGTGATGGAGTCAGTACAGGGCATCCACACTTATTGAGACAAAACTTAAAAAAAAAAAAAATCAATTACAAGCAAACACACATGCTTCAGAAAGCCTTGGATGCATATGTGGTCACAAGAATGTCAAGAATGACCCTCTAATTATATAGACACCATCCCAGAAACATGCACTCCTCTATCATGCCCCATTCATACCCTAGACAAAAATACCAAATATGTGACACTCATATTTCTTTTTTTAAATCCTCATTAAAGAGGATTCTTTAATGAGTTTATCCCAACTCCCCATCCGTAATGTCCTTGACCAGTCACGGTTTTCCTTGTATTTAACTGTTAAAAAAAACTAAAGAAATCAGTTGAAACAATGTAAAAACCTCACATTTTTTTCAGTGAATGACTCTCATATCATGGATACGTACACAGAAAATGTAACACACATCAGAAATAGCCTCGACAGTTTTTAAGCTGATATAAAAGATCTGGAGAAAAGAAGGGAGAAGGATTACCTTTGTCTTTCCAACTTGATATCCGTCTGCTTTTAGGTCTAGCTGGTCCAGGCACTGCTGGATGCCCTCTCTGGTAGCACTGGTGCCCTCTGGAAGCAGCACACTGAAGTGGTGGACAAAGTCCTATCAAAGAAACAAGGACAGATATTAATGAGATGCATCCCACAGCTCTGTTATGTTCTGGATTTTAATTTTTTAAAAGTCACAAGATTCCTGTACAGAGATGTTTCACTTTAGTGGGGATTAATTTAAAATATGTCTCCAGACTGAAACGAGACACTCTTCTTACAGGAACAGCAACATTTTAAAAAATGCTGTCGAGCATCATGTGGTTTCAGGTGAAAATCCATGTCATCCGTAGTTAAGCTCAAACATCATGGTATAAATATGCTGAACTCCCACTCTTCAAACTGAGGTTCATTGTCTGAAGTCAATACAGTCTGCACCCTGGGCTGTAGGGGGTTGACAGGGAAACAGATGCTGTGTTTATACAATTACAAGCACGGGGAGTGTTTCGGAAAGCAGGGGACAAAGTAGAGCCTCTGTTCTGAACAGCAGAGTCCTCCAAAATGATCCCATGCTCAAGATATTTCTAATTACAGCTGACTGCAGCACTCAATATGTTTGGGAGAATTTTTGGTAAATGACCAACTCTGATGCTAAAATTATCAAAGTGAGGTCATCGAAATACCAGCTCACTGGTATTATAAACCAAATGTTAGACTTAAAGCCATAATGATATGTACATATAGAAAGTAAGCTGTTTTTATAGTAGCATTACAAATTTTATTGGAGATTTTATTTCGCATTGATTGAAGAGCTAGTTGGTAGGGTAAAGGTTAAAACTATAACTATATGCATCCAAGAAATAAAAATAAAAGTTGAGCTACTTGATTAGAAATTCATACATCTGTGGGACCTGGGTGGCACTGCATTAAAAACATGGAAATCACTGCATGGACTCAAGAACATGTCCAGAAACAGGTCACAGTGCCATTCACAAAGCTGAGCAAAGCTCTGCCATGGAGAGAAGCCATATGTGAGCATGATCTAGAAAACCTGTCGTCTTCTCTGGGTTAAAGTTCATCTGGGGCAAAGTGGAAAACTGTTCATTTACAGACTGCTGTTAGAAGAAGAGGGGATGCTGCACATTGGTAACCGTGGCGTGTCCAAGCCTTTTTGAGAAGAGTTGCTCCCATCAAATTCAAAATTATCTCATTTTTTTTCTTTAAATCGAGCATTTTCTCACTTTAAACATCTGACATTTGGACAAACTTAAAGAGACACCTATGTTAAAATGCCTCTGAAATTACTATTTAGGAATCCTGGCAGTACAGACCTTAAATAATAAAACTATACTGGTTACACGCCTCCACAACATGGAAAGCAAATGAAAAAAAAAAAACTGAGGTAGGAGTGAGCCACTCCCAAATCTGCATCTAACTTCATCTGCTTTATTAGTCACATTTCTTACAGGGTTGACATCATTCCTATGAGAGCCAGTGTGGTTAAAGATGGCTGCCACATCACATCCCTCATAAGTCCCTCATGACACAAAATACAAAGAACCCCCCAAATGAAGCAACATCACCGACAAGTTTCCTGGAGATGAATTCATGACTGGCGCCTGCACTTGTGGAAACATGAGTGTTATTTAAGTTTTGGCTCAGGAGCGCTTCAGCAGCACTCTGGCCTGCGTAGCTATGATCTGCTGCTGAACTTTTAGCAGCTGGCTCTTTCAGTGCATTCTGGAAATTAAGATCTTTGGCATTTATCGACAAAGATCGCAAAATAACGCAAGAAGGGGAGATTCGGGAAATGAACAGTGTTTAAAGGGGAGCTTCAGTTTTACACAGATTAGTTCACTAATCAGGGTAAATGCTCAGCCTGAGAAAATTTATGAATAGTGTCTTCTGTAGGTCTGCAGGCCTTTGTCAAGACAAATAACTTAATAACGAAAAGTTTTGCTGCAAACCTTTTAGTTTATTATGGAAAGCACATAATCGGGTATCATAGGACAGATTAAAGACAGATCTTCCATCATTCTCTCATAAAGTTTACATGATTTTTATGATGAAAGCAACATGTTGCATCCAAAGAAAAAAAACAAAACAATAAATGGGTAAATATAAAGATAGGGTTGTAAATTGAGTTCTTGAGAGTTATTTTACTTTAAAAAAAAAAACAACCAAAATTATAATTATTAGTGATGGTATAAAATATGTTTACTTCCATTATTCGTTTGTCTAACAAAAAATGATCTATCTTAAAATATATTTTATATTGTACTGTACCTGGTTTAGTCACAAGTAACTTTTTCTGTACTACATTACTATTTTTTTGGTTAATCATTCCTATTAAATGTTGAATTTTAATTAAGGGAAAGTACATTAACAATCCGTAATCACTAATTAAAGGATCCCTAACTGAACAAGAGGTTAAGAAGATGGATGGATGGAACAGTGAGCCCAACCACTCTGGGTTATAAAATACTTCAGCCAAACCCACATCAGACTCAGAGATGGGTAAAAGGTGTCCTTTAATGTCAATAACAACCCCAAGTGGTTATTATGAAGCGTAACCAGATGCTTGAAGAGTATACACAGTGTAATTGAGTGTATTACCTTGAAAGTGTACTTGATGTTGTAACCCGACTGCCGGATGTGTACTGTCTCCAGCATACCTGTGTAACGCAACTGCCTCAGCACCAGGTTATCGTTAAACCGTAAGGGCAGCTGAAAGAGAGAAAGAAAGCAAGAGAGGGAGAAAAAAAAGGAGGCATCGGGGGGGGTGTTAAAAAAAAGGAAGAGCGACAGGCAGCAGAGGTTGCAGAGACACGATGGGAAAATGATAAACAGCTTTAAAAATAAAAAAATAAAAAGTCCAAACTTCAAAGGAAATAAGTAATGCTTTGAAAACTACACCGAAACAGTCAAAGTGGCCGCAGGCTGGAGGGAGCACACTGTACCTTCTCAGCATTGGAACGGATGCACTTGACAAAATAAGGCTCAGACTGACCCAGAGTCTCCATTAGCTTATTGAGAGAGGCCTAGAGGACAAGACACAAAAACCAAAATATTAGAATTAACAGAGAAGAAGATAACGAGCTGAGGCTCACTTCACAGCTGTTTGACAGGCAGAAGTCAAAGTCAGGTGACTGTTGTCAGTCTTGTGCTGCAAGATTAAAGTATCTGCCTGGGATCATAATTACCAGCAACAAGTCTATGTTAGCATGCAGACTGGAAATAAAAAGGACAAAGACATGTGTGCAACATTTCCATGTGCCGTCATTGTATGTGTGTGTGTGTGTGTGTAAACACATGCACATATGTGTCAGCATGTGTGCGCGATAATTCAGTGGCAGAAGGAATTCAGTCTCCTCCCCCTCCATGGGAGATTAAAGCAATCAGTGCAGCACAGGATGTGGAAAGTGAAGTCATCCACACACAGGGGCCAGGGCTGCCTGCCAGAGGGGCCTCAGCGCTCGTCTCTACCTCCAACAGCCAGAGCACACAGTTCACGTTCAAAGAACTTGGGAAGAAAATAGAAAATTTTGCTCTCTGGAATTTGTTCTCAGCCTTTTGTGTGTTACTAGCTAACAATGCAAGCTCCTATCAGACATTTTGGACCTGAAGAGCACCGAATCATTCTGATACTGATACTGGAAGCTGTGCCTCTGTTCATTCTTTGTGAAGAATTTTCCAAAGGGTGTGTTTGTGTGTTTTTCTTTTTCACTAAATCAAATATATTTTATTACCAGACACGATGTCATACAAATATGACTTTTGGGTGTGGGTAACTACATGATAGACACCTCACACACACTGGATCCAGGATTAGACAGTGAGCAGTAAAGTCTGCACTAAAAGAAACTAAGCCATCAAATGGACACACCTTGTTTTTGTCACGTTCACAGCTGGGAGGGGATTCCTCCAGCCTGCTCAATCTCACCCTGGTGAGATTTTTATTGTGAGAAGCACTGAGAAGGAAATTATTGAGCTCTGTATGCGACTGCTTTCTGTGTGTGTGTGTGTGTGTGTGTGTGTGTGTGTGTGTGTGTGTGAGAGAGAGAGAGAGACCTGGAACTGTGCGCTGATGCTGGGTGGTTTCTTCTTCTTGTGGAGGTGCAGCAATGACTTGGTGATGCGGTCGTGAAGCGTCAGATTGTTGAGGTACTTCAGTGACTTCACATTGAGTAAATGCTGCAACAATAATAATGTCAGAGTCAGTTAATAATATAAGAAGTACCATCTATTTAATTTGTATTTAGCAAATAAAAGGGTCGCCAAGATTGAAAAATACATACATAAGAGTCAGTTAAAATCCTCTACAGCTATATTTACTTTCCTTCAACTCATTTAAAATTGGTTTAGTGAGAGAAGCTCACTTTTTCCAGTACAGGCTATAGGAACCGACAGGAGCAGTAAGTCCTTCTTCTGATACTCATCTGAAGGATGTTCCTCAGTAAGCAAGATGGACGCATATCAAGACAGACTTATCTAAAACCATTTATAAAGCTCAGAGTGGTTTCACATACAAACTCAATCTTAGAGAAGCACCAACAGATGGGATATTTAGTGCTTTTGCATTTAAAAATAGTGCATGTTTTGCTTTGCTGTTTTCAGTATTTGTTTTTTTAATATTTCAACTGTTAAAGAGCCTGGTACTGTTTGGAAGCCGATCACCATATCTTTCTGTATAAAAATTAAATATCCAAACGCTTAAATTCAAGACTGGTGATATATATGTATAGTAAACAGGAGTGGCCCCAGGACAGAGCCCTGGGGAACAAGTCATGGTGACTTTATGCCTGCTGTCTGTATGCACTGACCTATAAGGGTAAATTAAAAAATACTGTGCACTTTACCTTTGGAAGAACGGGCTTAGATTTGTAGTTTTTGTTCCTCCTGGAAGAAAAATAAAACAAAAACTGAAAATCTAGTTCAGCAGTTCTTTAAATCAGCAAGTGAGACAGGTGGGTTTTTCTTTTCTTTTTTAAGTCTGATCAACAAAACAACCTATAATTTCAGATTTTTTCCTAAATATGTCATATTCCTGTCAATAAAGCAGAATTTTATTGATCCCTGAGGGGAAAGAAATTCTCCTTCACTTGCTCTCTGCCATACAGGGGTTTAGAGGTCAGGTTCAACTAGAGATCAGCACTGACTGAGCTTGCAGGAATGTAGTCATTGCTGGAGGAGACTTCATCAGGACAGATGTTTGAACTTTAGGGTTTACTTGTGTCTAGACTGCAGTGCTAACCAAAATAACAAATTACTGTAGAGCAGAAAAGAAAATAGCATCTCGATACTGACATGAGGATGTCGTGGGCTCTCTCCAGGAGTTTGCTGCTGGTAGAGTTGAGAAAGATGCCATCATCTTCTGCAGTAGAGCTGCTGGATGATAAGCGGCTCTGTCTACCCACGCGCCCGTTCCAGCCGAGCCCTGGGGAACCCCTTCAGACCAAACATACAGACCAGTGAATAATTTGAAAATAAAAAAATAAAAGACATCTTTTAAAGCAAATCAAACTTTAAATCTATGTTGATCTCTATATAATAATAATTCTATACATCATTAATAGTGTCATACATTTATTAATTAAAAGCAATACAATACAAAACAATTTGAGCAGTTAGTTCTCAATTTTTTTTTTTCAATTAATCACAGCCATCTATTCCCATAAACTAAGAAATATGTCTTGTTGTAACTTTACTTTTTTAGCCTGCGTAGAATATCTTCTGAAATACATTTATTACTTTTACTTTGTTCACTTGAAGCTGATCAAGAGTACCTGAGGGCTGTACTGTGGAAGTCCAATATTTTATATTTACAGTGTGTGCTAAACAAAGAGTACTACAATAGATGTAGACGCACCGTCGGGAGCCGAGGTCTGACTTGCCTTCGGAGGATGAATTTTATGTTTGTTGTTCATACCTTGGTTAATTTTTCTCCCCGTTTTCATAAGCATTTTTTAAGCTTGTAGTTCTTGTTGTAGTTTAGTTTTAATGTTTGTTCTCTCAGCAGTTTCTGTCTCATCCTCTTGTGTCAGTTCCTGTAGGTTAAGTTCATTCACATGTCTGTTTCTCCCTGTTTGGCTTCTAACTTCCTGTTTTATTTTGATTGGTTACTTGTCTCTAGTGTATATTTTCATTTTAATCCCATCTTTTTTCATTGTCTTTGGTTTCCTCCTCCATCTTCTTATTCAGTTATGTCCACTTTCTTTAATAACCTTAATGTGTTTACCAACATCGCAAAATTGGTATGGCCAAGATCTGGCCCACACAATGTGCTTAAACATGGCCCACATACCGCAAAGAATGACGGCCCTTTGGTGGCCCAGATCTGGTTTGCCAGATGTGGCCCACACATGGGCCAGCACAAGGCCAGTTGCAGACACAGTGGTGGTCCTGTGTTGGCCCATGTGTGGATTACCTTTGGCAAACCTGATCTGGGCCACCAAAGGGCCGTCATTCTTTGTGGTATGAGGGCCATGTGTAAGTTGTGTGCAGCCACGGGCCAGTTGCAGACACATTGCTGGCCCTGTGCTGGCCCAGAACAGTTTCAGCTCTGGTCCCAGATGTCAGCCTAATGTGTACCTTAATCAAGCCATGTAATAACAACATGTGCTTGAACGTAATAGTGCAAAAGTAACATGTAAAACTGTTTAGACAGTGAATGGGCTGATTCTTATAAAGCGCTTTTCTACTCTCTCGGATTACTCAAAGTGTGCTACACAACATACCAAATTCACCCAGTCACAAACTTTCTCTAAACTGAGTGCCTCCTAACTACATTCATACACATTCACACTCCTGACATGCAGACTGGAGGAGCCAGGGATTGAACCACTGACCTTCTGATTAGAAGGTGACCTGCTCTACCTCCTGAGTTACAGCCACCCGCTGGCTGTGCATGAGTAAACCGTCACTAGGTTTTGGATAAAGTGTACACTCACAAACCTGTCAAACCCGCATTTGAAACGCTGGCTACCATAGCAGTATAGTGTTGCAACATGGCATTTGAGTCTTCTAACTAAAATAGGAAAATAGGAACATAACAAAGTGCCATCATTGCCAGACCTGGCCCACATCTGTTGACATACACTCTGCCATGACATCAGTCAGTCAGAAGTCCCAGCTTGATGCCAGATCTGGGCCAGACCTGTTTTCAATGGGCCTGGGCCCCATAACCCAAACTACAAAACAGCCAGGTGTGGCAATGCATCACATAGACAGTGCCATCTATGCCAGCCCTGGCCCACATCTGGTTGACATACGTCTTATCATGCTAGAAGTCAGCCAGCAGTGCCAGCTTGCTATGTGGGTATATAGTGTTGTCTTCCCTAAGTGTTTGTCTCAGTATCTTCCCATTCCCGTGTGTTTTTGAAATGCTCTGGTTTTTGGTTTCCATCTCATGGACTATACAGTGGGGCAAAAAAGTATTTAGTCAGCCACCGATTGTGCAAGTTCCCCCACCTAAAATGATGACAGAGGTCAGTAATTTGCACCAGAGGTACACTTCAACTGTGAGAGACAGAATGTGAAAAAAAAAAATCCATGAATCCACATGGTAGGATTTGTAAAGAATTTATTCGTAAATCAGGGTGGAAAATAAGTATTTGGTCAATAACAAAAATACAACCCAATACTTTGTAACATAACCTTTGTTGGCAATAACAGAGGTCAAACGTTTACTATAGGTCTTTACCAGGTTTGCACACACAGTAGCTGGTATTTTGGCCCATTCCTCCATGCAGATCTTCTCGAGAGCAGTGATGTTTTGGGGCTGTCGCCGAGCAACACGGACTTTCAACTCCCGCCACAGATTTTCTATGGGGTTGAGGTCTGGAGACTGGCTAGGCCACTCCAGGACTTTCAAATGCTTCTTACGGAGCCACTCCTTTGTTGCCCGGGCGGTGTGTTTTGGATCATTGTCATGTTGGAAGACCCAGCCTCGTTTCATCTTCAAAGTTCTCACTGATGGAAGGAGGTTTTGGCTCAAAATCTCACGATACATGGCCCCATTCATTCTGTCCTTAACACGGATCAGTCGTCCTGTCCCCTTGGCAGAAAAACAGCCCCATAGCATGATGTTTCCACCCCCATGCTTCACAGTAGGTATGGTGTTCTTGGGATGCAACTCAGTATTCTTCTTCCTCCAAACACGACGAGTTGAGTTTATACCAAAAAGTTCTACTTTGGTTTCATCTGACCACATGACATTCTCCCAATCCTCTGCTGTATCATCCATGTGCTCTCTGGCAAACTTCAGACGGGCCTGGACATGCACTGGCTTCAGCAGCGGAACACGTCTGGCACTGCGGGATTTGATTCCCTGCCGTTGTAGTGTGTTACTGATGGTGACCTTTGTTACTTTGGTCCCAGCTCTCTGCAGGTCATTCACCAGTCCCCCCGTGTGGTTCTGGGATCTTTGCTCACCGTTCTCATGATCATTTTGACCCCACGGGATGAGCGCGAGCCCCAGATCGAGGGAGATTATCAGTGGTCTTGTATGTCTTCCATTTTCTGATGATTGCTCCCACAGTTGATTTTTTCACACCAAGCTGCTTGCCTATTGTAGATTCACTCTTCACAGGTGCCATTCATACAGGTAACGAGTGGGGGACAGAAAAGCTTCTTACAGAAGACGTTACAGGTCTGTGAGAGCCAGAGATTTTCCTTGTTTGAGTGACCAAATACTTATTTTCCACCCTAATTTACGAATAAATTCTTTACAAATCCTACCATGTGAATTCATGGATTTTTTTTTCACATTCTGTCTCTCACAGTTGAAGTGTACCTCTGGTGCAAATTACTGACCTCTGTCATCATTTTAAGTGGGGGAACTTGCACAATCGGTGGCTGACTAAATACTTTTTTGCCCCACTGTATAATTCTGGGCTGTGAAATCAGCTGAACTAATGGTGCGCTTTTTGCTTACATCTGTCTGCAGGTGAGTCTGTATTTGAGTCTTCACCTTGCCATTCATGACACTGTCTATAAAATCAGTTATTTCATCCCTTCTTTGTCAAGCTTGCAGGGTCCATAAAATATATACTAATAATTAAAACTGTCAAAAATAAGAAACACAAATAATAGTGTCAGTCACTGATTCTCCAACTTTAATCTAGCTGAATCTAGCTTTTTTCCCCCTACATATTTTATATAACCTAAAGGATTATCGGCAACAACCTGCTCCTTACCGTAAAAAGTTTACTTGATAAGTCATTGAGCTATTGAACATGTCTTAAGATCTATGCCACCACTGTAGTGTTTCTTTATTTTACCACAACAGTTTCCAAACATCTGTTTAGAAATCACTGTTTTCCTTTGCACTTGGTTTGTCAGATGAGACGTTAACCAACGAATACTGAAAGTTTAGAAATCAGCAGCAAACGCATGGTTGTGTGGCTTTGTCCTTTTGGTACTTTTAAATAGTGTGATCTAAGTTAAATAGAGGAACTAATTTTCATTCCCTTTTCCAGAAGACAGAATGAATCTCTTGTACAGAAATCCCTCACTGAAGCCCCAAAGGGTTCAAAACCTCAGTCCTCAAGGTGGAACCCAACCACATGCCCAGAACCCAAACAAAAACATAAGTTGTCAGTCATGGTTAAAACCCATCAGACTGTTTTGGTTTTTATCCCATAGCAAAAATGAAAGCGGGGTAACGAAAGACAAGTAAACAAAGACGATCTCCATCACTACTCAGAACAGAGCACAGCTGTGGCAGTTAAAGGTTATCTCATGCTTCCTCAGATCCACTGAGGTGCGCTGTTTTGTTTCCCGTTCATCATTCATGAGTTTACAAGAATTCCTCCACATGTGTTACAGGCCACACATTATTACACACAGACTACAGCAGCAAGATATGCTCGCTGATTCACAGTATGTTATTACCCAGAGGTTGAATCATTCATAAAGAGAAAACCAGGTGGGACACGTGTGTGTGTGTGTGTGTGTGTGTGTGTGTGTGTGTGTGTGTGTGTGTGAGAGAGAGAGAAACCAAATTCGGTACAACCACTGAACAGTTAGAAGAGCAGAGTTTCTGCTGCAGGGCTGCCTGCTTGGTTTGAAAGTGACTCTTAACGTCCACTGCTTAAATACTGAGTAAAAAATAACCTGTGTGATTAACAGATCTGGGCGATATCCAAACTAAAACAACCAAACCGCAGCGTCTGCGCTTACTGTGTTATTGTGTTTAGCATCTTTGTTGCACAAGGAACAAATATTCAGCTCTTGGAACCATTTTAGCAAGTTTGGTCCAAAAATGAATTATCTCTGCACGAATTGGATGGATTGCAAGAGAAATTATGTTTTTCCAGGGTCTAAACAGGATGAAAACCTTTGACTTGTTACTCATCCAACAACTTTATTTCATTAGCACAATCTGGTATGTTATGTAAAGCTAAAGACATTCTCATACAGCCTCATCAGTATCTTTAATTTGTATATTAATAAGCAGATATTAGCATGCTAACTGATAGTCTGCAGTAGCATGTATGTTTAGATTAAAGCATCACATGGGTGTACCCTAAATTGAGTCAAATTGTTAGAACTTACTCGACCAGTGTAGTTCATTCTGATTTAAAAATAGTGATGATGCACAAAACAGATGACTTAATTTTTTTGCTCAAAAATCCATGTGTTAATTCTGAACTGTATTGGACATCGAGATGAAAATTTGAATCCGGAAGTACCAAAAAAAAAAGAAAAAAAAAAAGAAGAAGAAGAAGAAGAAGACGGGGGAAAACCCTCCAAAAAAAACCAGGGGCATTCTTTCCACCACATTTCTTACTGTGGAGGTCACTGATGAGACCCAAAGGATGCTCCTCCACCATCATCAACACAAGGCTATGTCTGCACAGTCCAAGGGGAGAAATGCAGATGATTTGTACAACCAGTCAGCATTACATTACAAGATGATACATTTCTGTAGAAAAACCACAAACCTCCAGTGTGTAAGTATCAATCAAAATCTTTGCACTCCATCCCTACATGGCCAAAATCAGAAAATATTTTGTTGCGTCACGAAACAAAGTAAAGCATAAATCTTCTGTATGGATCTGGTTCACCATATAAGGGAGATTTTCTCCTCAGTTGATCATCTATCTCTGCAAATGGTGATAGTACAGTATGGCTTCTGTAGTGACTGTTTATCTCCATAGTGTCTCAGAGAGTCTCATAAAACACTGCTCTGTCCAGCTGATATGCACCCTGCAGGGTCCGAACATTTATTACTCCCCGGGCACTTCTCTCTGATGCATAGCTCCGACTTTACATCACCGAGGAAGCAGCTGCAAGGGGTTTAGTGTTCTCCTAGCATGTGGAGGATGAGGGGAGTGTGGAGGAGGAAGAGGAGGCAGGATGATGATGGTGGGGGGGTTACCAGCTCCATAATGATCTCCTGTGTAACAAAAGCTGACTTGCATGAATCCCTCTGTGCTGCTGCAAATCTCACAGTCCACAGCTAATTACAGAAAGTGTCAGTGAGACCAACGCTCAGGGTCACAAGCACGTGCGTCCATTTATTTAAAGGCATCCAATGTCTCTCTCAATGCTGGGAGGCAAATATCCTTACCACTGCATGTAGGACACACAATTAGGACTGTCACAATATCAATGTTTTGCTCATTGTGGCCACAAAATGCCACAATAACAGCATTCAAGTAATTTCTATTAATATTTTGGGGGAAAGACGACTATCACACAGACACATTCACTGATGGATGCGTTAGAGGCACTTTGGGGTTAAGTATCTTGGATATAATACCACCAGAGTCAACACACTACTCTGCTGACAACATTTTACAACATGGCCACTTACCGTGGTGATGTTTCATTGATGGTGTTGGTTCCCTGCAGGTCTGAGAGTGGCGTACGTGGACTCTTTCTAGTCACACCTGATCACGAATAAACATGTTGGCATCATGTGAAAGAACACGCACAAACACTACACACAAAACCATTCCAGAGAAAAAACACACTTCTGACACCGTGTGACACTCAAGTGTTACTGCAGTGACTGTTATGTGCCTTTTTTAAAATTGGAAATACTGCAGCTGAAGTAACATTTAACACAGATTTGTGCGGTTAATAGCAAGGTTGTTAGTGCTGAATGATGTGAGATGATACTGAAGCATTATTTAGTTTAGTCTGGCCTGTAGGTTTGTTTAATACCACGATTGGCAATTTAAAATACTTGATTACTTGATTTGGATTACTTTTCCATACTTTATATAAAGGATAGATGTAGCCACTGATGCCGTGTCATGGTTAGAAAAGTCTTGAACTGAGCATTTTGTCTCCTGACATCTTTGTGTTTCGAAAGTGAGTGATAGATTTGACTGGGGAAAAAAAAAGACAATCAAATTGCTGTCCAAAAACAGAGGACTCAAACATAAGGCCCGGTGGCCAGATTCGGCCTGGCAAAGACTAATCTGGCCCACTAGAAGGCTTAGATAAGGAGGGTATAGAGTCTGAATTAAAGACCTCCCCCACTGCCATTCCTACTACACCAAAATAGTTAAATAATAGATAAACAATTAAATCACAGAAGACTTCTTGTTTTTTCACTACCATCTACCATAAACATTTCTTGTTTAATAGTGGTTCTATGCTGCTAAAAATAATTCACGTGTGAATTAATCAAAACACATTTTTTTAATAAATGCAGCCCCGTGTGGATAATGAGCTACCAGAACTTATTCTGTAATTTTACACATTTGTCATAAGGAATAAACGGGTTTTTACTGTAGCACATGTTTTTCTTATATTAAGACATCCCAAGGATTAAACATTTAGTTCAATGATACACTGACAGCGTTTCTACATTGGCTTCACTGTTCAGACCCAGAGGCTACATCTATATTTTATATACAAGCTACAGCTGCTTTGTTACATCACTACAGTGCAATGGTGGGCTTTGGTAGTGATAAATTTGTACTAACGTATATCATATTGCAAGATTTGTTTTGAACCTACAGCCAATCAATCACAGTGCTGAAATCCTACAACTCTAAGGTGTGTTAGCCTACTCATAAAGCACTCTTCGACAATGTACCGTTTTCACTTTCATCACTTTGTACATTTTCACTCTCATCTGGAGCTGCAGGGTGGCACAAGACAACAACAAAAAAGACATTTGAGTGTCATGAAATGTTTGTAGAAGAAAAGTGACCCTTGTGAAAAGTGTGTGAGGTCGGCTGTATGTCCAGCACCACATGTAAAGATGCCTCTGAGCCAGTTAGTGATATGAATGTACACATCTGTGTCCCCAGCTATGCCAGACACACCCCTTGGTCTTTGATCACCATCACCAGCTGATGTGGGGTTAGTGACAGTGGAAAACAGCTGATTTTAGACAATCGTTTGGTGGACAAGCAACTATATCCAGTACCCAACAGACAAAATTGTATATGACAGTGGAGCAATGTGCTATTGCTAAAAAAAAAAAGTGGTGGAAACCTGGAGGTGTTGCTTCCATCACCAAAGTTCGCTGACAGAGCAAGATAAAAATGCAGTTCTTTGCATGCCTTTTACTAGCACAGTGTAAGAATACAAGTGAAGAGCATGCAAGAGAGGAACAAACACATGCAGGTGCATTAAAGAGAAAAAAGGGGAGACAGAGAGAGTAGAGACCAACAAGCATCTAGTCCTAAAGTAAGCATCCTAAATCAAATCACAACGCAGGAATGGTGCCTCTTTATGTTTGTATATTCTTATTGGTATCGTTTGGCTTTACTTGGCCTAGAAAAGTAGTAAACGTTGGTCGGTCCTCTCCCTATAGTTTCCCCTAGTCATGGTATCAGATGAAAGTAGGAGGAGTTATTGTATTGGCAGCCTTACTGTACTTCTCCTCTTTGCATCTCTGCAGGATCTCTAAGCTTCTCTGATGCACAGGGTGATGCAGAAAGCTAAAACTATCCGTACTTTTCAATACTGCACAGGGAGCAGCGTCATCATGCCCTTGGAGAAGCAAAACAAGAGGAAAAAAAAAAAAGAGAGAAGACAGAAAAATACACAAGAAAAAGAGAGAGAGAGAGAAATGACAGATTAGACAGCGAAGAAGATGAGATAAAGAAATTCAGTCGTCTACTGGAGAGATACCTGTGCAAGAGAAGATGATTGACATTCAAAACTGACGTTGGCGGCAGCAGTAGAGAGACCTGTCTTTATATAGGTGTTTGCCCCCCAAAGGTATTTCTATACATCGTCTTCTAGTGGTTTATTCAGTGAACATATTCTATTATAAGATAGCAGTAGCATTCAAATTTATAAATTTAAGAACAAAACTGCGTCTGTATAGAGATGGTTTAGAAGACATGTTCAAGATTCCTTTGGGTGACACAATATCTTTAGTTTAGCTGAAAAGATTTCTAAAAGATATCTAAAGACAAGTGAAAGATATCTAACTTCTAAAAGAAAAATCTAGTCCACATTACAACATCTACGCTTCATGTGAAGGAAGGATGGAGAGGATGCAGAGCAAAAGTCCGATTCATACGCCGGCAGGACTGAAAGAACATCTGTTTGCAACATCTACTGCATCTGAAGTACAGCTAGAGCAAATTCTAAGGGAAAAGAAGGCATTCACAGAAAGCCAAAGCTGAGAGAGAGAGACAGAGCAAGAGCTACTGTCATTACACTGCAAAACTACCAGCACTTTGCACACAGACTACAGAACAGTGACTGCATAGTGAATCCAAAACCTGGCTGAGATAAACATAATGAACCAAGACGCACAGCAGGTTGGCGTATAGTACAGTATGTAATGGCAACTTTTATCTAAACTGTGAGCTATGGAGCATTTCCTAAAGTACAAATGAAGCATGAGCAGGTGCCCTGACACTGTAAGACAGGTGCATAGATTTTTCTGATGACATTATGTTTTATAAGCTTTCTTGTGCTTTGCTAAGGTTTACCTCTCAGTCTGGAACATCTCTTCCCTTCACAGAGCATACTTTCCCTCACTGCTAGAGGTTAGTGAGCTAACTATAGGGTATGTCAACCATTAATGCATTGGTGTGGGTTCTTACCAGTGTGTTTCTTGTGCGTGTGTCTCTTTCCAGCCTGCCTGAAAGCCACCAGGGCCCTGAAGTATGCGCGGAGCACTGCCCAGCGGAAAGTTGCTGACGGATCGATGCCGATAAGCCCGCAGATGAAGGCGTTCTTGCTGCTCTTTAGCAAAGCTACGATGTCCGGGCGCATGTGGTCTGTGTTCTTCTCCCTGAAATCCTGCGTGTGTGTGTGTGTGTGTGAGAGAGATAAATATATAAACACAACACTGTTCAGAAGTATTATGTAGCTTAGTGCTACAGCTCCTGCCTTAGCACTTACATTCCTGTTGTGAAGGTCACACATGTAAAGAAAAAAAAAAATACTGGCTGGACAGACTTAGATTCTTAAGAGAGCGAAGATGGCACTGACCTTGACTCCGTACTTGACCTTGCCAGCATAGTGTCGGATAATAAAGGCGGGCTCCATGACAGCAGGGAACTCGATGTAGCTGTTTCCTTCATGCTGTCGCTTGAACTTATCCAACAAAGTCTGGTTGGTGGCTTGAGGGAAACTGGGAAAGGAAAGAAAGAAACATATGCTTTGAAGTAAAACGGGTTTTACATTTGTTTTTAATATCAAAACACCTCAAGAAAGGAAACTTGAGAATCACGCTCTTGATGAAGTTGATTCAAGACGCCAACTATGTCTTAATGCTGTAACACGAATCACACAGAAAATGTCCAACAGATTTCTGATGTTATCCACACAGAACATGATGAATTCAAGATATTATTTTTTTTCACCACTCTGTGTGTAGTTGCTACAACTGTATTATATTATAGCAGAGCATAGCGGTGGAAACGTGGGAAGCCAATATCATCTGATCTGTAACCACTTTTGACATTTTAACCTCTCTTGCCACAGGTTGAAGATTATCCTTTTAGGCCGACTTCAGTTCATATATCTCTACAGTGCGTCAGTATCAAGAGCCAGCAATTTTGCAGAAAATCAACAGCTTACAGGAAGAGGAGCGAGGGGAAGAATGAGACACCAGGGGTTTTGGAACAGGGTGAAACCTGAGCTATGAAAACAGAGCAGCTAAAGAGTCACTGCCTTCCAGCTTTGCCTAACAGGAGGAATTTGATTTAATGTCCAAATGGAGAATAAAGGGAGTTAAAGAAGGAAATATTACTTGTAAAATAGTTGCAGTAAAGCCATGTACCCGAAAACACCATATTTTATTGAGGTTTAGCAGGTATAGATTCCGGACAACTCCATCTTGCTTAACAATTTAGAGAAATCTGACAAAATTTAAGTGTATTTGTCTGAAATGTGTCAATGTTCTTATAAAGTGTAGTAGGAATCACACTCAGAATCTTGCACAATGTTTTCCAATTGAGCATAAAAGAAAAATTGTCCACTCATAAGGACAGGAGAGATGCAGTGATGTTAGCATGTGCTGTGAGTGGTTCTTCAGACAAACAAGAGTCTGTTAGGTACTCCAATTTATTTCTGTCCATCTCTAGGTTGCTGTTTGTGTGTCATATAGTAATTTCCCTACACAAAACTAGTTCCTCTGTCTGTGTCGATAGTTCTGTGTTTCGCCACAATACCAAAACTACAAGCTCGAGGAGGCCGAGAAGGGATTGTGCATTTTTCACACCTGTTTTATTTCATGCTAATATAAAACCTGTGCAGAGGACACTGTCCAGCTGTAGAAGCTCTGCAGCTGGAACTCTGCAACAGTGCGGAAACACTTTAGGTTCAGTGCCTCGCTGATTTTAGTATTTCAAGGACAAAACAAAGATCAACATGAGAAGGCAGGGGGAGGAGGGTATCAAACACCACGAAGATCCCAAGCTGTAATGAAACCAGCGATTTTTCAGTTGCAGAATAACACCTGCCAATTTGAACTTGTCACCTGTACTCAGCACCTGCTGAATTATCAGGTAGTTTACTACAGCAAAGCTAAACTGAATTTCTAAAGAAGTAAACCAGTCAAACTGGTAGGGAGACATAAATACTCACTTGCACTCTTCATCCAGTAGGTGGAACAGCGCTGTGGGCTTCTTGCTGATCAGGTTGATGCAGCCTGTGTTGTCGATGTAGTCTATGTTTCGCCAGCTGATGCCCTCTGCCCTGTATTCCTCCTGCAGGGTCACATCATGTACAAACAGAGAGCTCAGCTTTAGCGACACCTTCAAGAAAAATTTACTTCACAGGACTGGAATCTGATGAACGTCTTCTTTAAGGCAATAAATGTCACCAGCTTGCTGTATTGAAATACTAAAGCGTTTGGGTATAACATTAAAAATATATGGTGTTGTCCTTTAATGCACTGAAGCTGTTGAGAAGCACAGACGCTTTATTATAGTGGGTTTTCACTGCATGTCACATTACCGACAGCATCACAAACGCTCATAAAAAAATAAATAAATGAATAAAAATCATTAACAACATACAATCAAAAGCAGAGAACCAGTCCAAGGCTGATTAGATCGTTTTAAATCTTACAGTCAGAGTGGCTATAGTTTGTATGCATGGTCGCCTGGCCTGCTGGTTTAATAATGAAAGAATCATTCCGAGTATTTATCAGTATTACTTCCTTATACATGTTATTTTCCTGTGTTCCTGGGAAAGATTTAACCAATAAAGACCTTAATCCAGCAGAGGTTTAATAAAAAATCCCTTTCTCTTGTGTAATCTCTTGTTAGCCTAAAGTCTGGAGGAAAAATATGCAACTAATTACTGCTGTTTACTGTTAGTTCACAGGAAGAATATTTCAAGAAGGAAGCCAAACTTACTCGGAACAAAGTAAACCTTAAAGGCGAAGTGTTGTTTTATGCTGCAATTCAGCTGAGCAAACGGCTGTACGGTTATTGCTTCTGGTCATACGCACAGAAAAATGTCATATGATTAATAGACACAGACAACGTCTAATGAGGAGTTTCTGACAGCAGAAACCACAGCAGATTAAAATTTGACCGATCTCACATTCAAGGTCATCTTCTCAGGCATGTCCTAACAGCTACTTTTACTGCCTGGAAGCCCCTTTCTGACCACCTGCACTATGTGCCCTCCATACTGTCAGTCGAAGATTCCACAGCTTTCGACCCCAAAGGCGGCGTTGTCAGGTGACTGGGAGCATGCTCGTCATTTTTTCCAGAATCCAACAAGATTGTTCACATCGAATCCGTCCCTCGTCATGAGACGCCAGTGTGAGCTCTAGTATAATGCATTGGGGCCTCTGAGAGTGAACATTTTATCTGATGTGCATTTGTGCCTGTGACAGTTTTCACTCATCACCTGGGCTGTGTGCCAGATTTGGCCCACTCAGTCAGTCAGAACTTTTCCCAACCAAATAATGTGACAAATTCCATTTATCTCTTATAACAGCTGCTTTTGTTGAGTACAATACTAAAGCCAGGACTTTACTCTAATCTCTTAAGACTGCACACACTCAGGTGACAAAGTGTGTGTCTGCGTAATCCCGTATATTGCCACATACTCGGCTCTTAAATAAACAGAGGTGAGTTGACTCAACTCTTTGGTAATTGCTGAGTTTTGGTTTATGGGGGTGCCATTTCTAACTTTGTCATATTGTCTGGAATAACGTAACTCCCACTACCCACGTGCCTTTAAGTCATCTTCCCATAAAAACTATGATTCACTTTTATTTTGTCTGTATCAGTAAAAGCCCATAAAATGTATCCGGAAGATGCAGAATCAGCTTCTTTGTCGTGTTTCTACTGAGAACTGTCAGGCTGTCATACTGTTACTCTTTCTTTATATTAACTCAACAACCATTAAAATAAAAAGTCATTTCTTTATTTTTTGTACAAGTTTCATCTTTACGAACAGACACACACACACACACACACACACACACACACACACACACACACACACACACACACACACACACACACACACACCAAACAAAAACCAACCAAGTATTTTCTTGACAGATGTGTTTTCTTTGAATGGAACAAAACGTGAAAACAAATAAAAGAAATATCCACTGACAGAGTTCTAAAAAGAGGGATATTTAGGACATACTATGACCAGTATATTGGGGATGACAGACTGGTATTTTCTCAATAACGGGGGAACACAAAAGAATGTGTGGTTAGGCCACAGGAATCCTCTAAAGTGTTCAACACCACTTTCATCATTTAGTCTAAAAGAACAAAGTCTGCTGCCCGTTTTATAATATCCAATGTAATAATGTTAAACAGTTCACATCATGTCAAATTCACATTTTCTCCTTTGTGGGTAAAGTCCTGCTGGTTATTCCATGTATTTGCCGTCACAGTTGCCATGAATAAATATTTCAACTACAAGTACAGTTAGCGACTGATTGTTAGTGAGTGACTAGATGACGAAGTGATTTCACAAAGGTGCAACAAGACAGGCATTACTGACTTATTTAACCCCTATCTGCTCCAACAGAGTGACTCAGTGGTTGACAGATGCATGGAAATCTACACTGGAACTGTAGCTGTGGGGGTGAAACACCAGTTACAGCAGACTTACGGGCATACTTCCTCTGGTTGAAGTATGCCTGCTCTTGGTCACCCTGCCATCCCGGCTGAATCATGTTATGGGATTTTCATACTGCCTATGTTTTGTTCACTTTTACACACAATAATTTCACAAACCTGTTAAAGAGCACATAGGTGGTGTAAGGGTCAATATATTGTGAAGTGGTGCGTCAGGGCTGGCATTTTATATGCTATGTTTCTGACAAAATATACACGGGCAACCGTGGCTCAGGGGGGTTGGGACATGCATCTGTAACCGGAAGGTCGCCGGTCGTTGTGTCCTTGGGCAAGACACTTTACCCTACTGCCTACTGGTGTTGGCCAGAGGGGCCGATGGCGCGATATGGCAGCCTCGCTTCTGTCAGTCTGCCCCAGGGCAGCTGTGGCTACAACCATAGGTTGCCTCCACCAGTGTGTGAATGCGAGAGTGAATGAATAGTGGCATTGTAAAGCACTTTGGGTACCTTGAAAAGCGCTATATAAATCCAATCCATTATTATTATTATAATACAGTCATTGCCACAGATATAATCTGGTATACCAGGTGTTGGAAGGTAGAGTAAAGCTGAGCAATGGCTGCAATGTGCCAATCCATGCACAGGCTACATCCATCCATCCATCCATATTTTTTTATTTTTTTCATTTCCCCCTCCCCCAAACATGTTCAAACCCAAATAAGATATTAAATTGTTCCAGTTCTTACATTTCTTTAGGAAATGGAAGAAAGGGGGAACGGATGGCATTAAAACAATAAAGGAAATCCAGAAGGACAGCCAGAGAAATATCCAAGCAAAAAAAAAAAAAAAAACCCTACATAAGCTATTTAACCACAAAATACTACTTTTCCAGAATGAAACACAAACACCGAGGTTGAGGCTCTCAGGCTGGAATTAAAGGCAACTGATTTTCCTTGAGATTTGAGGGTTCATGCAGTAACCAGTAGCACAGGAAGCACTGTGGGATTATGAGAAATAACAAACACTGAACGCTGTCTCAGAGTCTTATTAAAAAGAAGTCACATATTATAAGACAGTGATGTTAAGCATGCCTAAAAAAATATGAACTTCTCAAACACACCAAAGAGGCTGACCCCGGAATTATTACTGAAATATTCAGCCTCCTCTCATGGGGCTCTCAAAGCTGATGCTGGGAGTAATGTTGCAAGCAGGCTACGTGAAATCACGCACACTTGGCGACATGTTGATCCTTTAAAAATCTTTCGAACATTTGCTTTTGGGTCACCGAATAAGCCATCAGCAAAAAAACAACCATTTAATCTAACCTAACATCCAAAGTGTTTGAAGCCCCCCTTTACACATTTTTTTAGAGGATGACTGCTAAAACAATTATGACACAGAGGTGGTTTGTGAATAACTGCCTTTGCGCAAAACAGTAATGGCTAGATACAAAGACCTTCATGTGGTGTATTTCATGGTTTCATGGTTTTCGAGCAGCCCCAGCCTCTCAAAACATGTCAGGGCAGGCAGCTGATCCTGTCAATCTCAGGGTAAACACACTATTTAACTTACAAGTAAACCTTACAGATCTCAACTTTAAAAAGGCCTTTGAAGTTAATCAGCTCGCTTAAGAAAACATACATCCTCACTTGTGGTGGTCACAGGTTGGGGTGACGTTCATCTTTCTTAGCCCTGTTGGACTAAGTGTTGAAGAACGTCTTGTGGTGTATGTGCACTTCCTTGTAAATGGCCACAATCAGAACTTAGTTGGACAGATAGAACAAAACGTACACAGCAGCTTAAAAGTTTAAGGATAGGGAAAGATGCGTGTCCTGCTTCGGTTTAACAAAAGACTCACCTGTTCAAGTTTGAAGATGTGCTGATTAAAGTAATGCTGGAGACGTTCGTTGGCAAAGTTGATGCAGAACTGTTCAAAGCTGTTGTTCTCGTAGTCTTCGAAACCGAATATGTCAAGGACTCCAATGGACAAGATCTGAAGAAGACACCAGCAGAAACAAATAAAAACTGAATCTGTAATAAGAGTCATTATTGTTTTGAAGAACGACTACACTCATGCGCTTTTAATATTCTCTGTCATCTTACCTTGGTGGTTTCCATCAGGTCTTTGATGTTGAGCAGAGCGTGGTTGATCCTGAAGACAATCCAGTCAAACAGAGCACTGTACAGAGACTTGGCCATGGAGTCTCTCACTGTGCCAGCCTAAAGGCAAACATACACTATCACTGTAATCTCTCAGTCAACACCATTAAGAAGTGGAAAGCAGGAGCACCAGTTTCTATGTGCATGCACTCCTTAAAAAGAGATGCCAGTCAAGTTTTATTAAAAGTGAAGAAGAGGCGGTTTTTACTGTTAATTTGCATTAACTGTACTCATTTGATCCAAGACCACGTTTCATATTTGTTCTCATGCAGTTTTGCCTGTTCTGTCTTCACAGCATTTACAGTATTCCTCAGTATTTCCCCCCAAACTCAGTGTGCCACACATCTGTTTTACACATTAGAGTTTGGCCTTGAATGCCTCCCCTCTTAACACTGCACTTATTGTACAGGCCCAGGAGAATAAAATGAAAGAAGGTCTTTAAATACAGAAAATAAAGCTGATTTGTAATGGTCAAAATGTAAAATGGCCCTGTATGAACTGTGTTACCCGAATGTGAATCCGCATGTGGAGATGTGGTTGTATGCGGTTCTACTTTAAAAATCAACCACTTATACTTTGACCTGAGCGTAAATCACATTCCTGCAGTCCTATCACACACACTTTTATTCTGAATTTTTGATGGAAAATTTATAAAACTGGATATCCTAAGATGGAAAAAGCAGATACCAAGGAGAGAAGAGACAGTGCTCCTATCCAAACACGTCTGACATCTCAACCAAAACATGTTGGTAGACTGCGCTGTGCAACAGCAGGGCGTCGCTGAGTCATTATAAATGTCATTAGAGAGGATTACACTCATCAGTTGCGCTCTGATCTGTCAACTTGTGATAGATGGAGGTGCAGAAGTTCAGCTTTAAAGTCAAGGCCCAACAGAAATATCAGCTGTTATAAGCCAAGCATGGACTCCATATATTTTTGACCTCACTGCTGGCAATACCAACATGAAATATTTGGATGAAAAACTAGTAATATTTTTATGTCACAGTTCCAATCAAAATACTGGGGATTTAAAAGCTTGGATTGACTGACAGAGTGATCTATTTTGTGTCTTCTTTCATAAAAGACAGGATTTTTTGTGCAAAAGCTTCCTTGTCAAATTATGAAGAAAAACTTTTTAATTCCTGTATCTGCTGGAAAGACTTGACCTCACTGCAGCAAAGAAGAGCCGCAGAAAACAACCCACTGAGTGGCTACCCCAACGCAAGAATCACAGGTTTCTAAACAGTTAAGCAGGATATTTTTAACATCCTCAGACAAAATATGTCTTCTATGTGTCAGGAGAGCCTGTTGGGATCCTTGTATGTACCATAGTCTAATAACCCAGAAGCTTTTCATCATTTAGAGGAAGCAGGGTTTAAAACATTCACTTGTCTCATAAGTCTGACCAAATGGAGAAAACCCAGTACAGAAACACTAAGACTTCTTTGAGGTTTTCAACTGTCTGACTTCAGTTAACAGGCAATGGGATTGTTGAGACTGTTAGAGCAATATTTACTCAAAGACCACCCAGTGTGCTACCACAACAATCACTGTTTGTTCATATAAAATGACTCCTAAATATCCAGCGGGCCATTATGAGGTTGTTGCTGTTTTGGTGGGAATGTACAGCACAACACAGCACCGCACCGTCTTTTTGGAGAGTCTGTGGTAAAATACTGCTGAGACTGCTGCAGAAAATCTGTGCCGTAAAAAACAAAACAAAAAATTTAACTCAAGTCACAGCCTGTGTGTGCAAGATCTGACATCAGCAAAGTATGAAATACTGAAGGCATCGTGATCATTTTTAAAGTCTATGTGCATTACAGCATATGTAACAAAAATAAAAAATAAAAAATGTATCGGGGGCTCTTTACACCCTGTATTCGTGTTGCTCCCTCGTCTCTTTCAGATGGCTCGCATCTGCAGACCATGATGTGTTTGTTTTCAGAGAGAGGAGGTCCCATGAAAACTCTAGAGGGACTTGAAATGCTTTCCCTTCCCTCTAAACAGACTGAAGGACTTTGTGCATGTGGGTTTGTGTAAGTGCGCGCTGCTGTGACTCAGAGCCCTCACTTGACGCCACTAAACGAAGAAGCTGCGGAGAATCAAGAGTGAGCAGGAGGAGATCCGGTACTGGTGCGTGCTTTTCTGTAAACACAGCCAGGTCACACTGAAGAGCCACAACTGCAGTGCCATTGTGTTCGGGCCGGATGTGAAAACACTCCAAAAACTACTTATACCTATGCGCCTTCAAATCTGGCATCATACTAACTACATTGGTACGAATGCCAGAAAAAGCCAATCAAAACACACTGTAAATATTAATTGCCTACTAATTCACAACACATCAATCATGAGCCTGTGTTTACTTTCGTTCTGTGCTTCACACAAAGAGAATTTCAGACATGCAGCAACTGATCTCTACGATCGCTTGAAAAATGACCAAAAGTTCCACTCTGTTCCTGTCTCCGACTTCCTGCTCTCTATTTGACGTGGCTTCCGTTAAAAATAGACTGTGCATATTTTTAGTAAGGCGCAGACCCGCTGAAATGCGGTGGTGGAATCACAAGAATTGTGGCCGCAATCAACTCTGGAATGCAACGCGGCTGCCCACTGCACGATTCGGGCCTTCATTTGCCATCAGCATTAGCCCACCTACCTAAAGCAAGACAGCTCACGCATCTGGACATGTTCAAAAGAGCCCATGTCACGAAGACAAAGGAACAGGCAGAAATCTGTGATGTGCAACAACCGAACGGGCTTCAAGTTGGCAGAAACATCTGCATTCCTGCTGCTCAGAGTAGGTAGATGTTATTGTGGATGACTTATTAAGATTTTGTCGCACATTTTGATTTGCAGCTTTATTTATTTACTGTTTGAGAAGCCGCAAAGCAGCTCCAGTCTCACCTCAGCCAGCTTGTAGGGAACGATCAGCTTCTCTCCCACAGTAACCGTCTTCCGCGTTGTCAGGGCTTCAAACAGCATCTCTTCTTTTACCTAGAGATGATGGTGAGACACAAGTGTTCACTCATTCAAAAGAAAGCTGAAACCCTTTTCAAGCTGCCCTTCACACCTGATTACGTTTAAAGTAACCGAAAATGTGCTTTTGTGTGTGTCTGTATGTGTATTAATATCTTTGTGGGGACCAGAAATTGGAAGTTTCCTATACTTGTGGGGACCAACAACCCTTATGGGACCCAAAATCCCAGTCCTCACAAGTTTGAAGGCATTTTTCAGACTCAAAATGTGGTTTTAGTGTCATGGTTACAATTAGGTTATGGTTAGGTTTAGGGTTAGGCATTCAATTTTGATGGTTAGGATTAGGGTAAGCAGATAGGGAAAGCATTATGTCAATGAGATGTCCCCACAAAGATATGAATACACGCTTGTGTGTGTGTGTGTGTGTGTGTGTGTGTGTCTTTATCCTGGCTTGAACAAATAGGAAGTGTATTTAGCAGTTTAAAATCATCTGCCTTTCACAATCTAGACATGTAATATGTAGAAATATATTTAGCATTGCCATCTACCTGCAGCAGTTCTGACACAACAGGTAGCACCTCTGGGTTAACAATGTCTATCTGGTCGTCTCTGTAAGGTTTCTTCTTGTAGCGGATGTTACCCAGGTGAAGGATGGCCGACAGCAGAGAGAAGATCCTAAACAACAGTTAGAGAGCATTCATGGGACACTGCAGTGGAAGTATATCATCTCAATCAGCGGAATCCATTGATTTTATTAGTAAAAGTTGGACTGAAAAATTACTTTACAGTACTGGTAGTGATGGTGGGAGCTGTGGTGGCCTGCAAAGCTATCATTTATAGTATAAAACAAAAGTAGGGGCGAGTGCAGTTAGATGAAACACTGCTGAACTGGACTGTATAAATAGGCAATACCATAGGTAAATAATGGTTTCTGTGTCTGTCACTCACTGCTTGCGTGTGGCAGGAAGAAAGCCCACCATCTCCATGGCCAGCTGAAGCCTCTCAAAGTCATGCTTCAGGTCCTCTCCTTCTACATTGAAGCAGTCCTGCAGAAAAAAAACAAACAAACAACGTTTTTAGATGTTATCAGGCCTGCGGAGGCTGTTACAACACAGTGACCGGGGAAGCCAAAAGGGCTAATGACAAGCTACTCTGAGGTTTAGAAGGACTGCTGACATATGCGGTGCCTTAATGTTTTCAAGGTTTACAGACCGTCTAGCAAATACACTTTAAAAAGTTTTTTGTTTTAATTTACATTGTACTTAAAATAAATTTAAAACAAAAAACAGAAATATTGCTTGAAGCAGACAAATTACTGAAATAAGCTATCATTAAGAAGCTTGGGGTCAAAGAAATCTGCAAAACTTGAGCCTAATGTGCAGAGTGTCTAGTGAACAGTGGCGTGTGCAGGTTCTGCTCATGTAGTGGAAAATCTGCTTTGGCACTCCACTTTAAACCAATCCACAAAAAATTTGGCAAGCAGTGAAGCCGACAGGAAGAGCAGTTTATGGATGAGCCTGTTCTTGAGAATGGACAATCAGCTAAACTAGCAGAGTAAATATAGTGACTGCAATGTTTTGACTGTCATAACAAGACTAAAGTCATGACGCGATTGAAAAATATATTAAATACAAGAAATATTCTATTTAGCAGCTATATGAATACTAGCAGGAGTATACTTTTAGATCATTCTGGATCTAGATTGGTTGTTTACAAGAGCGTTCCTAGAAACATATGCTTTGATGTTTCTACATAAGTACACAGTACTTCACTGAACTACATACACCCACCATAAAGTGAGCTCTGCTCTTTCCTTTATAGGCCCATTCCACTATGGCTGCAATAATTATCACAAACTGTGCCTCAGAAACACAAACACTCCAAACACTGAGACTCATGCTTGCACCAGTGTGCCGCCTCCTCGCTTCCTTCTCTCTTCCTTTACAGCAGAAATTTACACTGACCCATTAAAAGCTCTGGTGTTACATTTCCACGTCAGCAAAACCTACATTATGTGAACGTTGCTTGTTCAAACTTGAAGTTCTTTTCAATGAAAGCAGTCAGTGTAGTAAAAAGGTGTCTAAAGATTCCAGATGTCATAAAAGATGTCAGTCAAAATACGGATCACCGCTTGTCTACTCACAGTGCAGTCTGGGTATATTTATAGCATTTCTCCTCAGTAGTGTCAAGAACCACAAACCTATATTATCAGCATTAAACAACAACTTGCATTGAATTTTGTAATATTTTGCAATATTACCGGATTAATGAACTGCAGCTAAAAACTTAAGCTTTCCATTGACTTCTATTCATGTCAATGGAAAGTATAAAAGCATTTCTAATCACTATAAATGCTTTAATACACTCACAAAAACACGCAGTACCCCCAAAAAAGACAAGGAATCCCAACAGTAATGAGAGAAGACCTTTTGATCGTTGACATTCTTCAATCCAGTGTTTCCCATGTTTCAGAGGTGAGGTCACACATCAAAGTTATGAGTAGGGATGGGTACCGGTATCGGTGCCGACATAAACGGTAGTAACCAGACCGAAAAGCAGCACACATTTCGGTGCTTTTTTTCCCTTAGCTGTGATACACTTTAGATTCTAGCCAATCATTTTACGTTTCCGAGGATAGTAGGCGGGTCCAGGTACGTACGTTCTTTTAGAGCAGAGCTACAGATGCTCAAGGCAAAGCGGTCAAAAGTCTGGCTGTACTTCACAGCAAAATATGCAAACTCAGCAGCCTGCAACAAGTGCTTTAAGCTGATACTATGATACTGTCAAAGGAGGTAACACCTCAAATCCGATGAAACACCTGGCGACGCATAGCGTTTTTGTTAAAAGCCGAGAAATGCGCCGTATTTGATAGCTTGCTGCAAGACGTCATACCGAGCACATCTACTGCGGGTGTGGTGCCTGTTATCGGACCTGGAGTTGGCAACATCCCCCAAAAACCCGAGTGATACCATATATGCCCTATAGCTGCAGAAAAGGCTAACATTGTTATCTTTTTACAAAAAACAAAAACAAAAAACAGCTAAACATGAGAGGTTTTTGGACAAAGTGTGTGTTCTCCATTCTTTAAGCACCGGTTTGAGCACCGTTTAAGCACCGGCACCGTTTCAAAAGTACCGGTGTGGCACCGGTATCGGATAAAACATAAACGATACCCATCCTTAGTTATGAGTGTGTTAAAAGTTTTTGATGCTACAAATTGTCTGAACACAAGATTACTCGGGGATTTCTGTAGTGTATGGAGGACAGCAAATTCAAATGAGTGCTGCAGGAAATACTGTACCGGTCAACGATCAAAAAGAAAAAAAATTAGAGCAACACAGGCAGCTACAGTGGCCAGGATATGAGTAGACATACCACCAGAACTCAGAAGGAGTACAACAGGGGAAAGCAAAAACAAATAAATGCTCCCCAAACCAAACCAGGATATATCCAAAAAGCAACAAAATAAGCAAGGGAATCATAGGAACGGGTGGGTGGAGGGGTGGAGGAGGTGTGCAACTGTGCAGATGAAGTGCAGCTTCAGCTGCGAGTGCTCAGGTGACACAAAATCTACCGGCTGAGGTTTCTGCAACACGTGCAGACACACGGACAGTTAACACACAGCTGATACTGACCGGCTCACTCTCACAGTAACTCTCCCAATGACGTTGGTGGCTTGTCTTTGACATCTGGAAATGACCAGTTTACAGGAGGCAAGATCAAGGTTAGAGAGCAGCATTCCAATGACAACACACACTATATACTGGTCAAACATGAGCGCAGATTTAAGAGCGACTAATGACAACGAAGACGTGCTGTTAAGATACAGGCTGTTCATTACAGTCTCAAACATCGACGATTCAAAGTCAAACACTTTTAAGCATATAAGCAGTGATGACAGAGACAAAGAAAACACACTCAGACACTACCACATAAAAACTTTATGGTTGAACACATTAAAACATCAAAGCAGGAGGAAATAAGAGGTCCAGACATGCAGCACACAAAAATATTAAGACACCAGAATGAATTGTTGGCTTTCCTTCAACTTTAAATACCTTTTTATGACTCATTTTTTACCTCCTGAGATAAGAACTGATTTCTACTAATGTAGAACTGAATTCTTTCAAGCCATCCAAACCCTAGATTTTATTGTTGTCAAATGTTAAAACATAATTCTTCATTATCCGTGTCCTAAATGAGACATTTGGTATTAATGGGACCAGGTGCTACAGTTTTGATATTGAAATATTTTCTTTTCTTCCTTCTTGAGTTTAGGAACTGGACTACTGAGCCATGCTGCAGACTGTGGTTTTGTATTGTTGTGCTGAAATAAGCAAGGGCTTCACTGAAAAAGAACAGTCTGAATGGCAGCATATGTTGCTCAACAACCTTTATAAATCATTCAGCATTTATAGCACTTTGCTGATGTTCAAGCTACCCCCACGCCATTATGGATGCTGGCTTTTAAACTGTGTGCTGATAACAGCCTGGATGGTTCCCTTCATTTCAGCTTAAATTTTGATTTGTAAGAAAAATCTTTTCTTTCAGACCATCTTAAATAAGCTTAGAAATACTGCTGCCTTCTCTCTATGTAGTTTCTTTGCATGCTGGAGTTTTCTCAGTGTTACCCTTGGTACAGAGACTACGAAATTCTCTGAATGTTTTAATGATATTATGCACGGCAGATTATAAAATCTTCAAATTCTTTGCAATTTTTCAGTGAGCAAAGTTAAACTTCAACTTGTTCACGTCAATTACTTGTGGGGTTTTTTTTTTTAAAACAGGGTTGTTGATGAGGTATGAAACTCAACTTGCAGACACACTGTTGCAGATAACAAACCCCAGGCAGCAATTTACAACCACAGATTTATGTAGATTAAAGTAATTACTGCATTTCCAGATTGTGAGCAGGCACTGCTGCAAAAACGCAGGATTCGCAGTAGAGTACCAGATTCCCATTATTTCATGCAACATCTGCTATCTGCTCATCTGTGCATTCTGGAATTTTTCAGCATATAATCAACGAGCCTCAGTGAGGGTGTCCTTAAGTGCACCTCCTTGGGGAACTTTGTTTCTTTTAGCTGCGGTACAACATGATGCTGCACGATGTTACTCTGGAAGAAAATAATATTAAGGGCATCAATCTTTTTTCTGTTTTTTTTTTTCTTTTTTTAGAATATATATTGTGTACACTGCTTTGTGACTGTGTGTGAAAGTTACTTCATAAATAAATTTCAGTTTCTTCTTATACGCACACAAACACATGCACATAGTAAAAACTTGATTCCTTGTGTGAACACTGAAATCCATGCAAGAGCTCTAGCTAGGGAGTTATAATTTACATTTATATTATAATATATTCACATGTGGTTCCCAAAATAGAAGAGAAGGGCAAAATACAAGGGCATGAACAGAATGTGTGTGTGTGTGTGTGGGGGGGTGTACGAGCGCACGCATGTTTGCATGTGCACATCAGTGGCTGGGAGGAATGGGAGGAATTCCCTGCTCTCTTCTGCGTAGGCATGAGGACTTTGGAGGAGGGGAGGTCGCTGGTCGTCTGAATGTCAAGCTCAGAAACGGAGACACTTTAAATTTTACAAAACATAAGCATTTCATATGCAGACTGACTATTTCTGTGTTGTTGTGGCTTTATTTCATAGTTATGTGAAACCTGTTTTCCTTTAGGACAACAGAGCAACAGAGATGGGGGACGAATACCATTCGGTGTGTGTTTTTGTCAGCAGAAGTGAAGCAGTGAGGTTGCCTGACTGCATGAACAAAAAAAAAAAAAATGTAAATAAAGACGGAAGTGAAGACAAACCTACTATACAGTACGTGCAGCTATGCCTACAAGAAGTCAAAATGAAAAGCAAACAAATTAACACGCTGTGTCTGTCCCTGAAACAGCTGAACATTTTAGATAGTGTGTATGTGAAGGACAGCAGTGCAGCACGTGTCAAAAAACTATTTTCCCCCTGTGTCATTATTTCACACATGCTGACGACGTTTACAATGTTACAGATAAATGAAAACTGTAACAAATATCACATTACATGGCACGGCTAAGATCAAGTCTGCAGTGCCTGATGCTAAAGGTCCCACCTGACTGAGGTAATGGTATTCTTCAGGCTTCTTGAGGTGAAAGGCTTTCCTCTCTTCTTCACTTGCTCCTGCCAGCAGGTAGTAAAACACATGGTAGTTTCTAAAAACAAAAACAAAGAAACAAAAAATTATTACATTGTAACTCAATTAGTTCAAACTTTACAGTGTTATTTTAAATTATAAAAACATCTGTTTCTGGAAATGGTTAAGAAGTTTATCTCCATCGACAACGTTCCTAATCTTATGTTCTTTCCACTGAGATGGATATTATCCCCCATGTACCAAAACAGCTTAATCATCTATGCCCCCCCCCAAAAAACAAGCCCTATGCTTTTAGCAGCCGATCAGTTACTGTATTAATCATCACCATGAACATGCTCATTTTAGCAAACTGACTGAGTGGGATGCAGGACTTTATTTTGAGTGCAGTGAGCACAGCAAACTCCTGACATCCAGCAATACAGTATACAGTGCTTTCCATGTTATTTTGGAAACAGGCTTGTTATGTTCAGCAGGCTAGAATGTCAGCATGGTAATTTTAGCATTGTTAGTATTCAAAACTGGAGCAACTATAGAGAGGGGTTTCAAATTTCATCTTACAGGTTTCGTTTCAATTCATGTGGTGTGAAAACTGACAAGTTGACTAATAATAATAATAACGTATAGCTTATTGATCCCCGTGGTGAAATTACTTGTTTTTCACTGCATTTGATCCATTCACTCAGTGAAGCAGTGGGCAGCCACTAAGCAGGCACCCGGGGAGCAGTGTGTAGGGACGGTACCTCAGGGTAGCAGTTTAGTGGATTCGAACCCCCGACCTTCTGATCATGGGGTGACCACTCTACCTACTGAGCTATACTGACTTCTTGGTGATCCACATTCTACAGAAAACCATCTTGCTAAACTACTTGTGAAACCGATGTCTTGGAGTGGGATCAAATTATTGACTGAAAAACAACCACGACATCTCACTTCCATCAGATTATTTATCTGCGTGTGCATTCTGTTTCTGACAGAGTCGGGCTGAAGTGGAAAGGTTAGAGAGAAAATGTTTGCTGTTCGACCAAGATTCTCTTTAAATGCACACTTCAAAAGTTTTTATGGACCTTAAATCCATCTCAGAGGTAGCTAGCAAAAGGGGCCGACTGTGCACTCCACCAATATTACTGCTGAGCCCACTAATTAATTTTTATCGTCTATTTAAACGTTGGCATCTTCAACAGACATTTTGATGCCAGCTTTTTTGTGAAATATATGCAGCTTTAAGAAAAACTCACTTTTTTGTGTTATAACACTCAATTTGCAAGATTGGATTAAAATGAGTATTAATAGGTTTTGTTGAAATGTTACAAATATAGTACAATAAAAGCTCGCTGGCCTTACTGCTAATTACTGATTTTTTTACACAAGCTTATCATCTTTGATTTGGTGCATGCATGTTTTGTGTTAAATGTACGTCACAGCAACCCAGCCCAGTCCTGCTCGCCAAATGTATTTCTGCTGTTCATATGAGGGCTTTTGATAAGAATCTGCATTTCTGAGATGCGCTCACCGTTCATTGTGCTCTTGGTAGACCAGTCTTGACTTCTCCAAGAGGTATTTCTCCACGTAAGCTCTGTTTAAAAAAAAAAAAAAAAAAAAAAGTACAAGAAAAGTGGTTGACTTTAACATTATTTCTTATTTTATTTGGACATTAATAAGAATTAGGTTCTGGGCTCTTACCCTCTCACAGTGCCGCTCTCCTGGTAGTTCACCTGAATGAACTTCCCAAAGCGACTGGAGTTGTTGTTATGTGCTGTCTTTGCATTCCCAAATGCCTATAGAGGAAAAGAGGAACATGTGGTAAGATGTAAACGAATTAATGAGAAAGGCTACATATTGCATACAGCATCTTGCACAAGGGTCACTGAGACCAAGTACAGAGTCCACTTTAAGGTGTGTATAATTTGTTTATGGATCAAGAACGCAGAGCGTCTGGCAGGAGGCCAAACATAGTCTTGAGACACTGTCCGTCTGATGCCACAGAGGAAGCTTTTGCTCTCACATAGTTTCTAACAGCATTGGTCCGAGACTGATTAATAACATGTTTTTAGGATCTATTAAAGCCAGCGGTAGACAAATTGCCAGAGTGAGGATGAAGGAGCTATGGCCAGCAGTCCTGATGGGGCGAAAAAAAAAAGCTCCTCAGTGAGTAATGGGATCCATGTGGCTGTGTGGAACATGTGTAGCGTTTGTGCTTTAATAAGACAGTCCAGTATTTCCCCTCACAGCTCTGTTTATGTTGTATGGCTGCCTGAAGGGGAAGTCGTTTTTCGCCCTATGTAAGCCCTATAGTTATTTGTAGCTCTACCACAAGTAAACAAATTCCTCAGTGAATCACTTAGAGCTGTCCCGAGCTCTCCGTCTGTGAAACGGGAAAACACCCCTCCCTTACCCCACCCTTTGCCCACGCCACTTTCTAACTTCCCAAACATGCAAGGAGACAGCTAACGCCAAGCTAATGTGCAAAATTACTTGGCTTCAGGCTAATCGTAATCCACAAATTTAAGAGCTTCATCCATCACAAAATTTCTCCTGCATTTGAAAAATATTTTGTTTTGGTCCAGGGTAGGCCATCGTGTTACCAATAAGGCTGTTGCTATGCAATACAGATGGAAACTTCAGGGCACAACTACCTTTTCCAGTCGTAAACAACCAACACGGCGAAGCATCACAAGGTGAGGTTTTTCTAGTCACGGCTCCTTGAGAAATGAGTCAGTGACAATTAATTTACGGCATGCAGTTTCCTCCAGGAACAATGCACACAAGGTGTACTAGCTGAAGTTAAATCATTTTGGTACATATACTGCAGAGACAGATAATTCAGTCCAGATAAACTGAACATCTCTTAATCAGACCAACACTTTCTGTCTAAAAGTATCTAAAGGTTAGGCTCTGTCCCACTGAAGTTTATGAACAACAACCCATTTAGATGCTTTTGAGAATCGTGGTGATAGAGAACTTAGTTGGCCTCTATTACCGGCTGACACTGGCTCAAACCTCTGGATCAAAGCTACAAACTTGCCTCTCGTCTGTGACTCATAAGGCAGAAGAAATCATTAAAAAGGCAGACACAGTGGAAAAACATTTAACTCCACTGTCTGGACAAAGAAACGAGCAAACGGGGTCAAACTAAACAGTGACTGTATCACTTCGCATCCCAGAATGTGGATTTCGAAATGTGACGCCTTCCAGAGGAGCTGGCATGTTGTTCACCACTTTGTCTGTCTCTGAACTGGCTAACCTGCCTGCTTCAGGAACTCCAGGTCAGACGAGGACAGACTAACATCACTCAGCGCTCCGGAGTAGTACAAGCTTCCTACTGGAAAGTAGATAGCCAATAAAAACCGAACCCAAAAGCACTCATGCTGCTTTCAGAGTGAGCAGACAGGTCAGGTATTGGACCTTTCAGTGCTTTTTTTGTGTTGGGCTGGCAGGAAGTAGGATGTGGAAAAACTAAAAACACTGAAAAATATTTCAGGCACTGTGTGTTCATCCACCTGGTCTATGTAAAAGAAAAGACGAATATCGTTGAAGACGACATTTTTACAACCTAAAGATTTTAGTCTTTCTAAACTTGGCTAGCTCCATATCAACGGTAATAAAACACAAATCTCCCAGCAGAAGAGATGAGTTATAATTGACCTCCAGGGAAGGAGTTTCTCACCGTGGACATTAAGTTCCAATGTATAAACGCAAAATAGAGTGAATAAGTCATCAGTAAGAGCCAGCTATCATTAAATCACTGTGCTACTTCCAAACATTTCAATTTCTAAGAATACATTACCATAAATATTTGTCACAATGGGCTTACATAATCACAAGAATTTCCTGAGTTACAGCAGCAGCAAACAGCAATCTACAGTAACATGCCAACAGAGAAAATCCATCTGTATAATAATCAGGGTGTAAACAGTTTTTCTCCCTAACAGACACCAATGTAAAATTAGCAACAAGACAAATTCTGGTTTCAGAAACTTGGTCTCAAATGCAAATATTTTACTGCACTCTTGCGCTTTCCACCTACACAAACAGCCCACAATAATGCAAATATGTTCTCCAACCTTCTCGTATGGGAGGTGTCAACAGTTATTCTTGGAAATCTAAGTCAGTAACTTAAGCTCAAGAGGGCAGGAAGGCAAGCTGAGGTAACAAGGGCTGAAACCAAATAAACAATAACAAGCATATAATACGTAAAAGATTTATAGCGCAGAGTGTTTTTTTCTGGGTAGCTCTTTTTTTCCTTCCACTTCCACGGCTCAAAGATGCATCATGACTAAAGCTGTTTGTACAGACATGATTCGCACTGTTTCAGTGACTCCACTAGGTCAACAACATTATTCTTGGCTTCAGACCATAAACTGAGCCAAAGGCAGCCCAATGACAGACTTGAGATGGTGCCAGTGTGTTCTGGGTGTAATGTGTCCAAATACAGGCTCGGACAAAGTCATTACGGGGAGCACAGACAGGGAGGATGCCACAGGGATGATGTTATGCTTTAGTAAGTAAAGCACAAACATTCTACAGAATTTAACTATGAGGAAACCATTTAAATTAAGTCTCTTAAACTGTGTCTTTAAAATTCATTTACTTTCTATTGCTGGAACTCAGTATTTGGTTGGTGACTATTTGTGTAGTGTAGAAACCAATGGTAATTTCGATTTACCACAATTCTCTAATGAACCCAGCTGATATCCTCCCTCGCTTCCCCCCCTTCCTGACACCATGACACCCCCCTCCTCCAATCCCTCTCTCAGCAGCAAGACATCTCCCCCC